GTACACCGCTTATTTGGAGGTGGTGTACTTGGTGACAGCCTTGGTGCCTTCGCTGACGGCGTGCTTGGCCAGCTCACCGGGCAGGAGGAGGCGGACAGCGGTCTGCACCTCGCGGCTGGTGATGGTGGACTTCTTGTTGTAGTGGGCCAAGCGAGAAGCCTCGGCGGCGATGCGCTCGAAGATGTCGTTGACGAAGCTGTTCATGATGCTCATGGCACGGCTGGAGATGCCGGTGTCGGGGTGCACCTGCTTCATCACCTTGTAGATGTAGATGCCATAGCTCTCCTTTCTCTTGCGCTTCTTCTTCTTGTCGGTGCGGGGAGCACCCTTGGCCTTGCCGGCTTTCTTCTGTCCCTTTCCACTTGGCTTGGGAGGCATGATGATCTCGGTTGGTTTGCAAAATTTGCAGAATGGCGAATATCGAAAAATCGGTCTGTTATATACCTGCCGATATGTAAACGAGGGATCCTGGTCAGGATTCTAGCGATCGCGCCCTCGAAGTTCCCGCTTAAATTGTCACATCATTGGGGTGTACGTTGATTGGCTGACAGAAAGCCGCTTTGCACACGGCCCCATACACGGTACACACATGCCGGACAAAGCACACAGCACCTGCTGCACGACACTAGTGCGCGGGAAGGCGGGTTTCGCAAAGGAGGAATCTGATTGGGTGCTGCATGGATCCCTCCAAACTGTATAAATAGGGAAGTCTGATCTCTAACGGGTATTCGTTCTGTTGAAAATAAACCGCACGAAATCCATCATCATGTCTGGACGTGGAAAGGGAGGAAAGCAACGCGCAAAGGCCAAGAGCCGATCTGCCAGGGCTGGTCTGCAGTTCCCCGTGGGCCGTGTTCACCGCTTCCTGCGCAAGGGCAACTACGCCGAGCGTGTGGGTGCCGGTGCCCCGGTCTACTTGGCCGCCGTCATGGAGTACCTGGCCGCTGAGATCCTCGAGTTGGCTGGCAATGCCGCCCGTGACAACAAGAAGACGAGAATCAACCCTCGTCACTTGCAACTGGCCATCCGCAACGACGAAGAGCTGAACAAGCTTCTCAGCGGTGTCACCATCGCCCAGGGTGGTGTACTGCCCAACATCCAGGCCGTTCTGCTGCCCAAGAAGACCGCATCGAAGGCTGCCAAATAAGCGCCGAATCCTCGGCAAAAACCAACCGGCTCTTTTCAGAGCCACCACAACTTACAAAAGAGAGATTCCTTGTCTGTTGCTTTGTCAACATTTAATATTATTGTACTAGGCCGAAACGTTTGATCACAGATTTATTAAATTGTTACCTAGCCTAACCCTAACCACATCTTTATTAAGTTCAACCGCTGAGCCATGGTTAAGAGTCTAAAAGCAATAGGCTACGCTTTTCTACCTAGCCTAGACAAGTTATTGTCGGACATTCGACCGAGCTACACAAGTCTTTGACCGGACTTTTCCTGATTTCAAGTTTTCAAGTTCCAGAATGAAGGATTTTTCAAACGATCTCTTGAGCTCTGAGTGGAAAATCCCGTTTACTGTATATGTATAGGTTGCTTGAACGCATGACAGTTGATGTACATGTTGAACACAAAAAAATGTGTAATTTTTAAGAGGTGCCTACAGGCCAACGTGTAAAAAAAATGTTTACAGATACCATGCTGGCAAACGACTACATTGTACAACTCCAATCTTAAATTTCTCAAAAGCATTGGTGTAAATTTGCACTGGGGATGGGGGGGGGTGCAGAGTTGTGATGAGTCACTAAAGTTTGTGGGTCAAGTCCTTGTAGTGCAAGTCGCTTTATTTAGCAAAATAGCCTGTCGAGTAAAGTATTATTTCGAGTTGATTTGAGTCAACAATAGTTGAACACAAAGCAATTTATAAAAGTAAGTGTGAAAAGCTTTTGTGGCACTTTTAATTTTCAACTCGAGTTTCCACATGTAGTCACACCACCACATCTTACTTTCTTGATGTAGCACCGACATCAACATTAATATAGACCATAAGTCATTGCAAATATTTTTTCCGCAATGAAGTTCGCTTTCATTTTTGGAACTCGAGTCTTACTGTCTTCCACTCTAGTCGGGTCTCCCAATGAGGGAGTCCAGTCATGTGCTCACAGTGACTCAATTTGAGTCAAGTCATATACCTGTCCGGACTCGATTTCCCGTTTGGAACTAGAGTCAAGTCACCAAATCTTTGGACTGAAGTCAAGTCATTGACTTGAGACATTACAATTCTGTGGGGCTAACATAAGTCAATAATTGCCCAGCCATGGAAATTTGAAAAAAACGGGCTGCTGCCATACGAAGCTGGGGGCGCTGCTCATCTTACACCCTTGAAGTTGAACCAATCTCACATCAAAACAGAATGTTTGTAGTTTGACAAATTTATCTCCACTCTGTGCTATTCAATACCTTTTGGTCGGAGAGAACTCCGAAAATTCTTCAAAATCCGCTCATTTGTTCCCATCACCCAGGTTTTACGCCCCTGGGTACAGGCCTATGTGGGTTACGCAATTCACTCAAAAAACGTACTGTGAAAGTTGAACTGCAATTCAATATAACAAGGCTGAAAGAGGTTTTTTCAAAACAAAGTAGCAGTGTCTGTATTCCCCGTGAGCCTGTATTTTGTGGGTAAAAAATCACAATTGTACCGAAGTCTTACATTTTGAGGGAGGACCACAGAGTAATTGAAGAAATGCCAGGCAATTGGTAATACACAGTGTGTGTAAGGACTTAAGAGGTTAGAGGTTCATGTGCGAACATGTTACATGTTCCACTCCATCCGGTTACAAGTATATGAATGGAAGGTGATTTCAGTACAGGGTATTGGAATGAGATTACTAAATTAAATGTGTCTACATTGCAAGTTTTGTACGAGAGCCAGAAAAAGGAAAAAAAATAGGGCTTTACAATAATACACATGTGGATGCTATCCATATTTATTATCACCGACATATGCATGAGAGTACAAAGTGTGTGCCATATTCTCAGTACATGTACTGTAGTTATGTGACCCTGACGCACGCCTATCAGCTGTTCCTGAACCAGCGTAATGCAGTGTCCCCCAAAGGAGCCTGCGCTGCTTGGAATATTGCGCCCTCTCTTGGTCCAGCTTGGGGCTCATGAGACTGTTCCCTATTTAGGGGCTGGAGTGGAGTGGTTGGGGGGAGTGGAGCAGTGTTTGTTTGCAGTTATTGCTATTAAAGGTAAATGACACTCACCTGAGTCATTACTTGAGTTTTGTGTACCAGTTGCAATACTCGCGGCACCAAGCATGTGAGCCTTGCTCTGCAGTGTAGCCGTGTAGCTGAGGTCTGTTATACTCCCGCTGATGCTGACGGCACGTGATTCCTTCCTCGGCGCAAACAGCAAGGGCTGTTCGTCATTCAACCAACGGCCCCGGGTGCAGAACCACGACAGGAGCTCACCCCGTATACTACGATTCCAAACAGCATACACGCAGGGATACATGATGAAGCTGGCATACCACAGTAGCGTCACTGACATCAGCACCCAGGGGGGCACTGCAGAGAGGCCGTGGAAAGCCTCAAATAGCAGTTCGGCAGTCACTGGCCCCCATATGACCAAAAAGGCACCCACCGTGATCGCGATGGTCCGCAACGCCTTGGGCGGCGAACTCATGCGTATGTTGACCAGCAACGACGTCCGCCGAGACCGCCGCCTGTTCCTGAGATTTCCCGTGATGACAACATTCCCGTTGCTGACCCGCCTGTGTGTCACATGGGCCACTTGTAAAATTTTCAAATAGCAGCCCAGGATAACCAGAAATGGGATGAGCACACATGCGACGGTGAAGAAGACTGCATAGGACGGATGCTGACTCCAGTCGATGAGACAACTGGATCGGAACACACTATACTGGTACTCTGACCAGCCGAAGACAGGAGGAAGACTGCACGCCACGGCAAGAAACCAGGCAAGAATGATCAGCTCCACCGTCCGAGTACTTGTTAACTTGACTGGATACATCATCGGCTGTGATATTGCAAAATACCTGACAGATACAGGAGAAAAGATGTGGACAGTCAATTGTATTCACAAAAAAATGCTGCTAAACTAGCAGATCAAGAGGGTTTGGAGCCCTCCAAGGGCCCCAACCACGACTACCACTTCCCCCCCCCAAAAAAAAAAAATTAATCCCAAATCTGGATTAAGATTTGGAATCAATGAATGACCAAAATAGTTCCTTCACCCCCTCCCTAATCAATGCGCATGCCCTGTTTTCATATGTACATATGTATTTACTTCCCTGATCATGGGGTGCAAAAGGAATGGATGCATATTTCCATTGCACTGGGAGGTTGTTGACCATGTTACAGATAAAAATATTTTGTATTAAAACTTGTGTTATAATGCACTCACTTGTTTTCAATCTTCAGTAATTTCAGGCCATTCAATAAGTCTGATGTGGCAGATTTTGAAAACATTTTAAAACGATTCAACACACTTCAAACAGTAGAAAACCTGTTTGTCGCTCCTGTTTTGATGCAAGATTGAAGCATGTGATACATGTACCTATTACATGTACACAAGATGTAGGTTTGTGTGCTTTGAGTTAAATTAAAATATTGGAACTGACTGCAAGTAGCTCGGATACAAATCAAGATTGGGGAAAATGATTGAACTAAGGAACACTTTCATACCTAAAGAAAATCTTCCTTGCCCTCAGCAACCTCTGTTCAGAAAAACAACTCACCTGTCTATAGTGATGATCATAACTGTGAACAAGCTGCCGGTGGTGATAGACACCGTGACGAACCCCGTCAGGTTGCACCACATGACCCCAAAGATCCAGTCCCTCCAGACACAGCTGATCAAGTTGAAGGGCAGCACCACCGCCCCGGCGACGAAGTTGGACAGGGCCAGGCTGAGGATGAAACGGTTGCTGGAGGTCAACAGGTAGGAGGCTTTCTTGTAGATAGTGAAGGTCACCAAGAAGTTGAGGAAGCACACTGCGAGCAGGATGAGACCCAGGAACGTAGCCTGGACAACAGTGGTGGCCACGTCAGGACCCTCCCCATCAGGCCTGGGCACAGGCGAGACAAGGGAGGAGTTGACGGAGTCTGTGTCACTGGAAACCATGTTGGTGATGAGAGTTGTTTTCACAAACTGAGCCAGCTACATGTTTTTATCTCCCTTGTTCTAGTTTCTCTCACGTGTTCTGCATTTCTCCAAACCACAGAAGCACTTTCAGTCTGACATCTATTCTGAAAATTACACAGAACAAAACTGAACGCATGTTATCCAAGTAATTACTCAATTTTTAAGTGTACAAAAGGACAACCACAGTACATGTACACCCCTCACAGTGAAACCCCCCCCCCAAGCTGTGTCAATGAACAAAAAACATGTACATGTACTCTGTACACATTTATTCTGAGGACACTTCACGTTCACATGTTCATACATGTACATGTAATCACCACACATCAACACGCTCACCGGGCCCCACATTCTCCCCAGCAATTTTGTTTCTTTTTCTACATGGCATGTGCCCAAAAACTCTCCATGAAATATCTCTTTTACCTCTTCGCCAAGGCCGCACCACTTTCAAGTCATAGGGGAATGCCAATATTTTGGGCAGCCGTTTCATGAGGTGGTAAAAATACATGTACACTGTACATGTATTTTTGTGAGACAAATAATTCAAACCCTTGAAAAAATGGCAAAACCCCGACCAAGGAAATTTGTATTGGAATAAACTACATGGGGTTGGTCTACACATAAATATGCTCTGTGATAAGTAGCCGCACATGTACATAATGTAAAATGAATATGCATTTTGTTATTACAAATCAGCATCATTACCACGGCTTCCTTTCAAATTACCCATTCACAAGAAATACATAAATATAATCTGACAGTTGCGTTTCCCAGCTGGAACAACCAACCACTGTAATTTGACATGGATAGTACAATTACACATAGGGCCTGTCACTGAATTTATCTGCAATTTGTTCATTTTTACTTAGCAGGTAATTTTAGTAATAAATAAATAATTTTAGTAAGGTCTCGTCAGTTATATAACTTCATATCATTGAACTGGACAAGAAAAGCTCAAATCAGAAACAAGAGGGCCAGATTTTTGTGATATAATTGGGTAGGGCCCAGTTTTTTATTCAACATTGCTGTAAATATTTTGTTGGGCTTTTTAATTAATATGGATGACAGCAGCACTCAATCTCTTTTTTGACTTTGTGTGGCTCTGAAAAGAGCCGTTTGGTTTTGGAGTGGAGAAGAACCCGCTTAGGCACGTTCGCCACGGATTCGGCGAGCCAGCTGGATGTCCTTGGGCATGATGGTCACACGCTTGGCGTGGATGGCGCACAAGTTGGTGTCCTCGAACAGGCCAACCAGGTAAGCTTCGCTGGCCTCTTGCAGGGCCATGACGGCGGAACTCTGGAAGCGCAGCTCGGTCTTGAAGTCCTGGGCGATCTCACGGACCAGACGCTGGAAGGGCAGCTTGCGGATCAGCAGCTCGGTGCTCTTCTGGTAGCGACGAATCTCACGGAGAGCCACGGTACCGGGCCTGTAACGGTGAGGCTTCTTGACACCTCCAGTGGCTGGGGCGCTCTTGCGGGCTGCCTTGGTGGCAAGCTGCTTGCGGGGAGCCTTTCCTCCAGTAGATTTGCGGGCGGTTTGCTTGGTACGAGCCATTGTAGATTGGTGCTTCGGTTTCTACTACAGAACGAATAAAATTCCAAATTTCGCGCTTGCTATTTATTGGGGTCAGCGGATTCCTCGCACTGGTGATTCTTGCTTCTCATTGGTCCATTCACGAACATTCCTGATTGGACGGCGTAGCACGGTGCCATTGGTCCGTTCTGTGAGTGCGGTGATTGGTGGGTGCGTGAATCCTTCCCGCCATTTCTCTAACGTTAACGCACTACGTACATGTTTATCTAACAGTACAGTACAGGTACATTAACATGGACATTAAGTACGTGAATTTTTTTTCGGTTGGAATACAGGTACATGTATTTCGAATAGCTTTAGATATACACCGCAAACCAGTTTGTATACATGTAATTAAAAAAATATACGAAACCTTCTAACGAAAGTACTTCGAAGAAGATACATACAATGTACATCAGACAAACATTTTAATTAAAATAGAATGTAACAGTCTTATCTTTTGTCGACGCGCAGACCAGTTATGATGAAGTCTTTAATACTCTATGCACGATTTTGTACCGTAGCCTTCTGCAAAATGTGCATTATTTTCAAGGTCTTACTTCATTTCCATTTCGGGTTTTAGTATCAAGAATCCGTTTCATTATTTTTAAATTAGGAGTTAGCCTGTAACGTTTGAAACATTTCTCTGGCGCGGCTGCTGATTCACTTTTCGAGGTACGTAGTGAAATGTGCTTATCAATTTTTTTGTTTTATCATAATTTTAAAAGAGTTCTCATTCTGATGAATTCGTAAATTCATTTATTTAAGCGTGCTAAATTAGGGGACATTCTGCCTGGGGGCAGATTTCTGGATGCAAAACTATTTTTCATTCGGGCATAAATTTCATGATAATAAAACTGACATTAATTTATCAACTCATTGCGCATTGCCAAAGGAGAAGTAGGCCTATAAATAATCCAAACGAATGCATTCGACACTCTTCAAAATGGAGGTTTGGCAATACTGATCACGTGTTCTAAAGATGCTTTCATTATTAACACGTTAACTTAGATAACACGTTAACTTAGATGGGGGTGGCTTAAATCATAAAATTTGGAATTTCGAAAAAAGGAGATATCGGTATTGCTGGACACCACGTGACACTACGAGTGCTGTTCCAGTTCTTCATGTGTACATATCAGGCTTTTGTCATGTTTGTACGTAAAGTTGTCCAGGACGAAACTTTCTTTTACTAGGAAAGGAACGGGGGGTTGGCGGTGACGGATTACTCCTCATATTAAATGTTTCCCTTGCTAAAGGAACTATCACCAAGTGCCAGTTGCGAGGGGTCAATAGCTCACCCTTCGGGTCCAAATGTGGGGATATATTCCCTTCCGACGGTTCATGTTTTGTAAGTGCAAGCTGTTCCAACTAAGCCTACTCTTCCAATTCCACTATAAACAAGGCCATTTAACGCTGGAAAATCCTTTCCACGTTCTTGCGTGATATCCATTGCTTCCCCAGAGATGCAACAATGTACTGTACGTATAGTATTGATTGCATAGACTAACATGATTGTGCTCCATTACGATGGGATATTGGTGGACGGTTCAGCTGTATATCAAGGTAGACTTTGGCGGACAAAATAAACGTAAAACTACAAGACAGCAAGGACTCAATCTCTCTTTTGAAAATGTGGTGGCTCTGAAAAGAGCCGGTTGTTTTTGGAGAAGTAAGCTTTACTGCTTAACCGCCGAATCCGTACAGGGTACGGCCCTGGCGTTTCAGAGCGTAGACCACATCCATGGCGGTGACGGTCTTTCTCTTGGCGTGCTCGCAGTAGGTGACGGCATCACGGATGACGTTCTCGAGGAACACCTTCAGGACACCACGGGTCTCCTCGTAGATCAGACCAGAGATTCGCTTGACACCACCACGGCGAGCCAGACGGCGGATGGCGGGCTTGGTGATTCCCTGGATGTTGTCACGCAGAACCTTACGGTGACGCTTAGCACCTCCCTTTCCGAGTCCTTTGCCTCCCTTGCCACGTCCAGACATGTTGCTTGATCAGTCGGTTTAGTCGCTACTTTCGATAACGAATCGAGAATGCATGTTGTTTCAGAAAGCGCGTGGTACTAAGTAGCACCACTGCGGACGCGGAAGAAATCCTTTAGCAAAGGGCGGAGTACAGTACAAGATTACGCTGGACTGTGTCGTGGTGCCGTGTGCAAAGACGGTTGGCGACAAAGGCAAATTTCGCGCGAAACCTTCAATGGTGTACATGTACATGTCCTTGCACATGTACATGTATACCGATCTTTCCCGAAGAGTGAAAAACACCGATGTAATCTTTGGTTATGAATAAATCCATTCAAAAATGTAAAAAAGACTACATTTTATTATGTACATGTATCTTTGAATGTCACTAAACCATTTATTACGTTGGATGTTCTGGCTTTGTTTCAACAAAGTGAACGAACACAGAATTCTCCAGTTAAGCAGCATTGTATGACAATAAAAATAAACACAGCATGATAAACTCCCACGGTCTATCTTGTGCATGTAAGTGGTATAACTGTTAAAATACAAAGTATCAGAATGTGTACATTTTGTACTACCTGAGGCTACTGGTGTTACGCAAAACTAGGTTACAATATGGCCTAAAAAGCAGAGCTAACAGTAAATTCAAAGTAACTTCATTTCAATTTCCTTCTTCTTGCGTCCTTCGTACGGACATGTGTGTACTTAAAGTACGTGATCCAAGCAACTTACTGATTTATTACTCTACTCAAAGTGAAATAGTCCCAAAACTTCAAAAATCTCGCACATTTCAGTGGAAATATATTCTTCATCAACACCCATTTCAGCAAAGACTGTCACGTGTTTTATTTTGTTCAGCTTCGTTATTTTCTTTTAACATTAACTTTGTGACAGAGAGCTGATCCATCGAAGTATACCTGGCAAGATATGGGACAGAAGAGTCCCCCCCCCACCTTCCAATCCCTGTACACTAACACATCTCCGTAGAAGTCTGTAAAGCATTCCTGAGATTCCGATCAAACAGTGACCAACACAAAGGCGGGGGTTCTCTCCGTCCCATATCTTGCTTCAAATGTATCGAAGCCAGGGTTAATTAAACACCTGTCCTGGGCATCCTTTTCAGATTAGGACTGTGGATTTCAGAGCACCCACGGCATCATTCTTACACAAGCCTTGCACGTTAGCAAACATATGCCGCAAGGTATGAGACGGAGAGAACCCCCCTGCTTTGTGTTGGTCATTGTCTCGCAGGAATCTGGGGAATTTCTTTCAGACATCTTGGGGGGGATGTGTTAAGTAACAATAGTCTGGAATGTGTTAGAGACTGGACATGTTGGGGGGTACCCCTCGGTCTCACTTCTTGCTGGTTATATTAGCAAAATGTCAACAATTTTGTTGTTTAGATTAGACTGGTTCGGGGTCGAAACCATAATCCTCCTTCCCGTTATCAAATAGTGCCAAGCTTTTACCCCCGAACGAATCACAAATCCGCAAAAAAAGCTGCTGGTAACCAATGATAATATCAACAGCAAGTTGCTAAGTGCGAGAAGAATGCCCGTAATCCTCCCTGCCCGTCCCTTGCACGATGCTGAACGCGTCTTAGAAAAGACCAGTCGGATTACATTCTCACTCCATTAAAGGCTCGAGGACTGTCAGCGTTCGACGCTCCAAAATGCTTTCTTTGAACAATGGTTCCCACGAATCCCTGAAACACGCTCATTCACGATGAGATCACCGATTGTGTATACAGCAACAATCCAATGTAACCATGCACAATGTGACCAGACATGCCGGTGGTGAAGCCCAAACTATATTTCACTTGGATCTGTCGTTTCCACTCCAAGGCAGATCACTGGACGGAGGAAAACTGACTAAGGGCAACCGCACATCGTGGTTTTTATCTGAACCATCTCACGGTACTTTGGAGTAACACGCATGATGCATGGCAAAAAAAACCCCCAAAACATCAACAAATTGCTCTTATTCCGAGGTGCCACAGCCTTTTTTTCCCACAGGTATGCAATAATGCATTGTTTAAGACTCTTTCATGAATAACTTACACCAGCGAGAACTTTACAAAACAATAGACCTTATTCTGATATTCAATTTCACAAGAAAGCCATGTTTGATTACGTTTCTAAATCTGTCTTATTCAATATAATCTGTCAAAATGGGGTGGTGAGACTATTTGGGGTTCCATGCCCTACTTTCAATCTTTTTTGAGATATTGCTTGAAACATTTTGATGTAATAAATCACACTATAGGCCTATTTTAAAATGTTAATCACTATAAATGATGAAATTAATCTATTATGAACTTCTGTTTCATTGTTTTAATATTTACTCTGAGGTTCCCAACACACACAAAAATTAACCTCGCTTTCAATTCAATATGGCCGACTTGTGAATAAAGGCAATTCTATTTTCATTCTTCAACAAAAAAAAAATCACAAAATGGCAGGGGTATGTTCCCACCCTATCTAACCTCCACCTGATAAGCAACAGCACATCATTTGTCATTTTTTTTCATCAAATACATGTACAACTGTGGTCAGTATCAACATGTACATTTAAAAACTGTACGGTCAGAGTTTCTTACAAAATAATTAAAGAAAACAAATCAAATCAATAAAGCATCAGTTAGTTCCAGGGTGAAATTCAACCCAGTTTACCTGTAAAATCAAATTAGGAAGCTCAGAGGAGATTACACGAATAGGCCTAATCTAACATCACCAAGTCAAAACATTTAGCTATACTTTTCACCCAACATTAAGCATTATTGTGCCATATTGGGGGCCTACTTCCAGAGCTGTAAAAACCTTACAGTTTTGGAGGGAATTAGGCCCATTACGTTGTGATTGACAGTTTCTCGTTTCTCGACAGGACTCATTTGTCACGAGGTAAATTTTACCTTTTTGTTTATCATTTTAACCCAAAAATACTATGAAAAAGACTACAGTCGTGATCAATCACTGGGACACCACATTTTCACAGATTTGTGCTCATGAGCAAATATGAAAGATGGAACCTATTTAGTCAATAATACTTACTTATAGTTATATTACTACTAGGCCCATAGCCATGGGCCCTTCAGTATGGTATGGCTCCATCAAGTCTGTGAATTTCATGATGTAAAAAAAAAATCTACGTATGCTATTCAAACCGTGAAAATCACATGATTATCAACATGATCAACTGAGATGCTACAAGAGCTAAAATTCTTCAGTATATGTCCCCATGGTCCCAGCCGTTTTCTACTCACCACAAACAGTGACATGACGAATCCCATCCCATGCGACAAGGCAATGCACTATTCCAATCTGCCAACCGTTTAGCCTCACCAGGCCAAAAATCCTCGAAATTTCAAAGCTCAGATTACGAAGTTATACAGTTGCATCCTAGCACCGAGGTCTGACACACACTATTTGGGGAAGAATACCGTTCAAAACAGTTCAGTGAATCTCAAACATGGCGACATACTTCCACATTCCAATGACATTTGTTATTTCCATTTAACTCTCCACGTGGGTGGTCCAAAAATAGCAACTTTCACCACCCTCGCTCCACATTATTAAACAATTAAAGGGCCTTTTTATTCAAATTTTAAAAAAAGTTGCCCTTCATTCCATTCTCTGTAAATGTTAAATACATCTTTATATAATATTCTTTTGAGATATATTATTAGCAGCTTTATACAGTCATCAAACACGTGGCAATTAAATCTAGAACTTCGAATCTGTTCGGAAAGACCACCCAACAAGTTTTTCGCTGGTACTCGGACATTTGTTTTCACTGAAATTATTCATGAGAGTTGGCACCAGTGAAATTCGCTTTCGTTTACTCTGCCACAAGAGGTCGCTGTTTAGATTTGCGGTCGCTCAATCGGTTTCACTCATTCGTACTTGTGTAGGTCATGGAGGGCAAGAACATACCTAGTATCTGCACGTGTACGTCGTCTATGGACGGTTTACACTAGAACAAGCCCATAGGGACGTGGTTTAACTAGACTCAAGGGTTTTATGTGTATTGATCAAATGGAAGTTTCCGATGAAGGAGCCTGAAATAATAAGTTATATAAGTTATGTCATCGGGCACTGCACAAGAAAAAAGTACTGAGATCAAATTTTTCTTCAGCAACTCCAAATTATTTTTGAACTCTAAAGCAGGAAAATGTCCATTTTGTGATTACTTATATTCCAATACAAACACACATGAAAAAGTATAAAAGATTTAACGATTTTATTTTGCCTTTTACACTGCACATGACTTGGTTCAATATACATGTAAATGAAATGAAAAGTTTATCGTGATTTTTAACTTTTCCAGTAGTTTTCAAAAACAACTTTGATATATCACATTCTTTTCCCAAAAGCTTAGATGCATTCTTGACAGCATGTACATTGTGGCTGAGGTATCCCAAGTATAATCAGAGATATGAGAATTTTTTTTTAGTTGTTGACCCTAATTTTTTTTTGGTACACCTGGTCTGTACAAAAGTATTGGAACCTTTTACATTTCAGCTTTTTGTGAGCTGTTTTCAGCTTTAATTTTAGTGGCCATTATAACAAAACCGAAATGAAACTAAACCAGTTGAAGGAAACATGAAAAATACAAGTTCTTGTCGTTTGTCATGATTGTAAAAGGTTTTGGCAAGAGTTCCAGTTAGCAAAAGTGAATGCATAATTGAGTAACTGATTTGGAAATAGTCACAATTCTAGATTGGTCAACTCTTTTCCTCTGGCTTCAGTCTAGAGAACAATACACCTGTATCCCTCCCAAGTGGCGTGCTCTTGCCTGTCCCTGTGAAACATTCTAAATTGGCCACTGTCCTCTCGCTGCCTTCGATACCGAGCCGACTTAACAATCTGTCGGCCATGTCAGGAACGACGGGCTGCAGCAGTATGCCACAAATCCTCAGCGTCTCCATGGCAACGTGGAGGACAGTTTCAAGCCAGGGGCCGTCCTTTTCATTCTTGACGAGATTCCATGGCTCATGGCGCTGAATGAACGCATTGGCCTGCCGCAGACACGCCATGATTTCGTCCAGCGCTTTGTATGCTTCAAAGTTGTTGTAATGGATGTCAACGGATTCTGAAAGCAACCATTGAAAGGTTGATGTTACGTAAAAGGAAGATTAGTCAAAATGAGCTACAAATAAGAGAAGCGGGTTGAAGACATCTACACAAAGAAACCTGTACGTCGTTATTTCAAATTTGGAAAACTAAGAAGCACATTGCAAAAACCTGGCAGTCTCTGCAGAGCAGACACCAGAGCGTAGTCCTCGGCAGAAGCCCTTCCAGACAAAGAGGTCAGCGACTGCTGGCGGGGGAAAAGTTCAGCGTGGAACTGTGGAAAGACCTGCGACAGATTCAACACTTTCCCTGTCACCCTGGACAGCAGGTTCCCAAAAGTGTCAGCCAGCTCAGCATTCAGTAGCTTCAGAACTTTCTCATCAGTGTAATCTTCAAAAATAAAAGTAAACCGTAAATAAAATAATAACAAGATAGCCACAGTTGCGTAACTAGGGTGCTACAGCTAAGGGGGGCACCTGGGGGTGCACAATTTTTTTTCAGGGGGCACTGAAAATAATTGAACTAGGTGCCTGTCTGACTGCCTACCTACATAAATGGACGTAAATGTCCAATTCAAAATTTCAAATGGGGGGGGGCACCTGAGGGAAAAGGCCTCCTTGGGGGGGCACATGCCCCCCCCAACGGAGTAGTTACGCTACTGGATAGCCACTGAGTGTATCCACAGCCACAGATAAAAATGGTCCAGTTTGAAGCTGGTACGGACTTCAGTACCTCCATCAGAATGCAGCACTCCCTCTCTGAGAAGGAAATATCGTAAGCCGTCACGAGTGTAGGTACGAAGTCTGTCAAATGGATCTACCACATTGCCCCGGCTCTTGGACATCTGACAGGATTAACAAAACGGAAAGCATTTGATTCAGTGCATACAATTCCACAAGATTTCAAAAAAACATTGTATAGACAGGTAGACAAGGTTACTTGTCCAGGCGAATGCTTGACTGATGGTTTCATCTGTCTGCATTATTTACCTTGAAGCTGTCCATGGTCCAATGGGAGTGGCAAACTACAGAGGTGGGTGGCGGCCATCCAGCAGCCAACAGAAATGCCGGCCAGTAGATCGCATGGAACCTAGGCATGAGAGAAAAAAAAAGCAAAAATAAGGAGCACGCTTGCCCTGTGTGTAGTGCTGCTGGTCTTGTTCCTTGATCGGTCTCGTGTTGTATCTTTATCTCACAAAAAAGAACAGTACACAATTTGCAGCACGTAGCAGTGATACACAGCAGAGGTGTTGAGTTTGTTTGCCACGTATCGTGCATGGTAGAGGTCTGAATGGCCACTCACTTCAGGATGTCTTTTCCCACGATGTGAGTCGCCGGCCACAGATCCATTTGTCCAGGAAAGCCGCACACAGTCAAGTAGTTGACTAAAGCATCCAACCAGACATAGATCTGAATTGTTGCAGCAAAAAGGAAAATGACGCGTAAAGGTGAAATTTTCACCCAATAAAGAAAGACACAAAACACACCGAGGCAACCTGCAAGTGGACCACACACAAAAAAACCCCCAAAAGTCCAACTTGAACAGGAGTTCAACAGAATTATGATCAATTCCTGTAAGTCACAAGCCACCATTCGCTTACCGTTTGTGATGGATCTCCGGGCACTGGAATGCCCCAATGGAGTCTATCTCGTTGTCTGGAGACAGACAGGTCCTGTAGACCCTCAGACACCCACTGACGCACTATGGCGTGGAACTTGGCTGGATACACTGCTACTCAGAGTGGAAAGAAGATGAGAATTACCACAAAAACCATCCAAATCTCAATGCGTCACAAGTCAGCACTCCATACCTGTGGGCTGTTTGCCCAATCAAACCCTCCATCGCCCCTCAAAGGCTTGCATTTGGGTCTAAACTTCAGAGTTCGCGACCAAGCCCTATGTTGTTTTACATGCACACCTCCATTCAAAATATTGGTCATTCAAACTCGTTGAGATCTCCCTTCTCCAACCTACCTCTGGGGTTCTCGTCCAGCCATTCCAGCAACCTTGACGGGAATACGCTCAGTCTGAACATGTAGTTGATCTCTGTGGTCCATTCAACCGGATTCCCCGTCTCCACTGAAACCTGCCGAGTAAAGATGGCTACCTCGAGATGACTCTGACCAGTAGAAATTGACCAGTTGTGGGTTTCTGGTCCAATGACTAGGCAAGAACTGACAAAAGGATTCGGATGAGTAGCTCTGAGTTTATGAGGGACAAAAAACAAACAACACTCACTTTGACTCCATCTTGAGTGTCACTGTCTTGTACCTGCTGTGAGTTCAGGAATGTCTCGTCTGACGTTGAGTACCACCCTTCATATTTGCCCTTATAGATGTAGCCTCGTTTCTGCAACGTAATCTTAAAAAAAATTTGTGACCTCTTTTTCAAAGCCCTGTTCTACCTCAGTGCTGACTGAGACAAGACGGAGAATGATCTTTTCCAGGTTAGGAAGTGAGATTGAAACCATAACGGAGCAACAGATTAGTTAAATCCCGCACAATCAGGTACAAACTCTGCCCGTGGTTGAAATCATCCAGGGTCACCTGACTTCAAAAGCAAGGAAAGAACGAATCAATCCTCATAACTGACTGCTGAAGATTTATCATGACAGCTGACGGATAGAAAGAACATGCCAGCATTTACCCAAAAGTGATTGACCGCTTCGTGGTGCCTCGACTCAGTGGTGCGTATGAAGTCAGTGTAGTTGACATTACTCTCAGAGAAGAGACTCTGGGATAAATGAAAAATGACATGAGCCATCAGACACCAGACAGAAAAAAAAAAACCAGAAGACAGTGTGTTGACTTTGGTTATTTTTTAAAATAAAGTCCACAATCAAGGCCTGGTCCATCTGTTTTAGATGCCTGTATGCTTCACTGAATTGCCTGTGCAGATGTTTAAGTCAATACTCAAATACCTGGCCAAAACGTCAAAACCCTTATACTGCATGCCGAGCACAAACTCATTTTGTCTCTGGTGTTGAGCAACGAAAGTGTTATCCATTTCAGTGGACATCCTTGAAATACAAGTCTTCCTTGAGATACATCTCATGCATGTCACAGAACTCGACCACAATGCTCAAAAAATCTTGGTATATGATTGATAAAAGGGTCAGCGTCTGACTTCTTCCTGTAATGTGGGGAAGTTGTCTTACACCGGTCCATTACTCACCCGAAATTGTTCGGAGACCTGGTCACAGTATTTCTGCGGCTTCTTCCCGGCTGAGGTGGCAGCCTGCTGCACCTTCAGACCGTGCTCGTCTGTTCCCGTCGAGAAGATGGTCTCCTCCGCTCCTGAAATTCGTTGCCACCGGTGAGCGCAGTCAGCAATCAGAGCCGAGTACAAGTGGCCAATGTGAGGGACTGCGTGGATAAAACAGGACTGAGATAAGAATGCTTCGGCCAGTAGCTGATCCGTCGCAACGTCTCCTTTGACTTTTAGTTCCGGAGGAACTAGTTTTTCCATCTTTACTCTTCACCAAAGGTAAGTTGATTTGAAATCAGCGAGAAGAAAGATGTTTCACTTAGCAACATGTCAATCAATAAAATTAGTGTCATAATTTCTATGGACATGATACAATTGAGGTGTTTAAAAAGACAACCATGCTAACTTTACGCTGTTCTTCATCTAAAATTGAAGATCTAAATACCAAGCACAATCGCTCCTAACCTGCATTAACATAAAAAATGGGCGTCGTCAGAAATGCATTTCTGGACGGATTGGCCGATCCGATCGCTCTCGCTTGCACAGCAGCTGCACAACGATCAGTAAGATGTTTTCTGGGACTCTGTCCCAAACTCAGACACTGTCGCAGTAAAAACATGGCACACCACGTGAAGGATCTCCCAGAAACTTGGTGTCAGCCAGGCATTCCCATCAAGGCTGCCCAGACATCAGTCTGTCTTCCTATTACAGTTGGAAGCCAAAAATTGCACTGTTGCTTAATTCCATCATGTCTACAAGCCATCAAATGAGAACGTCAAATGCCAGCTTAAACTTGGTAATATCAAGGGCCAAGTGCACTATTATTTAGGCAGCACAAATGCACATTCCTTCAAAACTTGAGTTTTCTGGCTTTAGATTTTTATTGAAATCTGAATCTCAAGTTAAGGCAAGAATGATTGAAACATGTACGTATGCCAGTTTAAAGCCACAAATGGAAAGTTTACTGTCCCTGCAGGCTGCACCCAAGGGTGGATCCAACTCCTGCCCCATGAAAATGAGCCAAGTTTCTTTGGAAGAGGGGCCGGGGATAATGAAAGACAGTATTTTGGTCCATTTCTTTTTTCCTCCTTCAAAGAGCATGTGAAAAACCCTAAAAAGTAGCCTCAGACCTAAAAAAAAAGGCCATTTACTGGAAACAATTTCTTAACATGACCTCCTCCCCCCAAGAAACATGTTTGCCTCCCCGCCCCCGCAAAAAATCGGCTCTGGATCCATTGATACATACATTGTTACTTCTTCCCTTTCACCCTGGCAAATTGGAGTTAACTTTGTTAGTCCATAGACCTGGAGGAGAAAAACACAATAGACTGCCAACTCCTGCAGGCACTTAGAATTCGTTATTTTTCATGTTTTTCTGTAATGACCGACTTTTATTGAGATGACATATGATGAGAAAAGTGGAGTCGGGATGCACCATTTTAACCCCGAAAACAGCAAAACGAAAGTTGTCTGTGCCGGTAACTTCGGCACTTCCGGTTGACGCAAGATCGATGTGCGCCCGCTTGAGAGATGGCAGTCCATTGTACTTTTCTCCTCCAGGTCTATGGCTAGTCACAAAGAAAAAGGATTAACATCTTCGACAACTTTATAAAGAATGTAGGCCTAGGCCTAGTTATGTCCATTGCACTCCGAATTTCATGTGAATTTGTTTCTCCCGCGCCACTAGACTCCCGTGGTTCACTGCGAAAGTTCAGTTCAGGTCTTCAATATGCCGGAGCGGCATTTAAATAAGTGAAAATCAGCCACAATCATGAGTATTTTGAACGTAACACAAACTATCCATGACGCAATGTCATAGATATTATTAAGTAAAAGTGCGACAATGGGGAGTAAAAGTGAAGGAACAACCCATCAAACGCAGCTACCTCACCAATCTATTTGATTGACAAACAATCCTCGTTATGTGAGTTACTTAGCAATTTCCAATCCAGACAAAGTAACTCCAATGTTTAGCCTTAATTTGCGGTAATGTAATAAATGAAATGGAAAACTATATTTTTCAGGTCAAATTTATCTAATTAGTAACATTAATTTAACAAGATGATAGCATTTTAACTGTGATTATATATCAAGAGATTACGTATTTTCTATTAATAGAAGGTACGCAAGCGCAGTAAGTCAGCAATGCAATGATCACGGGATAGACGACCGATCGCGTCATTAATCCGTGTAGAAGTGAGAAATAATACGTGATACTTTGGACTTCGGCCCAGGGGGGAATTTTTTTGTCTTCACTTCCTGATAATTCCACGTTCCATTATCTCAGAGAAAACTACCTGGTAAGGTGAAGATTGTTTTAAGCATTTAAATATTAATTCATCGTAAGTAAATTGTTCTTATTTTTGCCCATGTTGCTAAAATACGAACTTTACTTCTCTCAATCACTCATGCATGCTCATCATGTCATATTCGATGTTAGACTTTGTGAGTTTTAAGCATACGTTGGCCCCATCTTTATATCATGTCAGCCTAGGCTAGGCTTACTACTGACTTTACTGTGAGACAGGTGTGTCAGAGGATCTATGCCTTCTTAAACTTCTGAGGTTTCTGTTATTTGTACCATTAAAAAAAAAAAACAGATTACGACGTGAGCATGTGTTAATAATAATAATAATATTTCATGTATTTAGGCCTATACTGTAGTATCAACAGATGGCCAGCTTGGAAGCAGCCAGGGCTCAAGGAGTAGCAAAGGCATCATGGATGCTGCGGAGAAGTAGGTCACTTTTAATTACCTCAGATCATTAGATTGTTTCACATTGAGGTGCATAATTCAAACAGCTGTATTTCAGTGACCCTTTGGATGAAATTTAGACCCGTAAACAGGGCCCAAGGTATACTCCTTCGTCGTATACCTTTCCTCATTTGGAGGATAAAATGTTGCCTTCAGTTGGAGTTTTCCGGACGAACTTTGGCTCAACTTGCAAACACCTGAAGGCGGTGTGTGTCATGTCACAAAGAGCAAGCCGTGCTACATGTTCAACGATTCGCCGCAAGCAGTATTTGACTCGACGGGAAATTAGCTGTGACACAAAAGAAACGTAATCCATGATTACTTGAATCGACAGGTACTCTCACGGATCTAAACGAAATTCGTATGTGCTGAAGTCTAGGTGCAACTAGACAGGCTCTTTGCACAGGCTACCATCACTTAACCATACAAAGGAGTCTGTGTAATGTGCAAGTCGGGCCAAAACTTGTCCAGAGTGGGGAAAATGCCACCTGAAGGCGCCCATTTTTTCCTCAAACGAGGAAAAGGCGAGTTTTTTGCCAATGGCAACCTGGGGGATAGTTAGCAGTGTAAGCAGTGAACATACTGGTGCAGTTTCAGCTCATAAGATCCAGCGGATGTCTGATAATATCCCCGGACATCCTGGATAAACTTGATCGAAAGAAATCACTATCAATTTGGACAGGGCCCAGTGTATAACGAAGGAGTATGTGTCAGACCCTGTTTACGGGTCTGACAAATGTACAAGACTATTCCTTTGGATGGATGCATGTACAGTGTTGCGCACCTAATCTTGCACCTGTTAAGTTACTCATACGCAGAAGTGAAAACCCATCCCAACAGAGCAGAGAGTATTGTACAACGGCAATGCTATTTTGCCCCAGTTAATTCATTCAGATGCCAAAGTGGTGGTCAGCCCCGGCTTCAAAATACCCCACTGTTGTGGTGATCAAAATCTGCACAGTTTTTTCTTTTGATCGGCAGGTGACATCCTGTGCCGATGGAAGCACTGTTTCTGCGTGCTGTTCAGAAACGGCAGGCTCACCTACTACAAGGACGAGACTCGAAAGGAGGAGCAAGGCACTGTCAAGATAACCATCAGTTGCTATCTCATCAACGTATGTCAGACACAAGCTCTACAACTCAGAGGAATACAATACCATTGGAACTGATTCGTTGAAAGGCTGACTCCTATCAAAATCAGTTTCAATTAAAAATTATGACCAAGGAAAGAATTTCCCGTATGGACCCCACTTATATTTCCCTGTATTTGCCTACCAGAAAGTACTTAAATGTCATAAAAGTCACTTTCAGAACACTTATAATTTAGTTGGGTTTGTTCACTGGGTGTCAAGTGACGTCCACGTATGGAATTCTTAACACGGTTCTTACAGAAATATTAACTTTGTGCTTGTGCGTGGGAGGGAATGAAAGTGAATCCTAACCGATCCAAAGCACAGCTTGAAACAAATTTCAACAAAGCAATAATTTTTCTCTAAAATGTTCTCTTCCGCCACTGTTTGTATTTATCTGTTTGCTTTGAAATTTTTCCTGTCCTCTATTAAAATATACAATTTCTATTTTTGTTCCCTTAACCATTAATTTCAGGTTGGGGCAGAGGTGAAAGATGCATCCCCCCCACCAGGCAAGGATATCAGCTGCCTCCTGGAACTGAGGACCCATGAGGCCAACTTACTGTTCTGCACTGACTCTGTTGACGACAGCCAAGCCTGGAAAGCTGCCATTGTGGAGGTCAAAAACTCAACTGTAAGTTCTGTAGCCCTCAAATTTGTCACATCATGTCTGTGTTGCTTCCTTTCCTGTATGAAAGATAACAAATCATTCTCTCTTTGAAATCCACATTTTTCTTCGTACAGACCTTAAAGAAATGAACCATTTTCCTGTGTGTTTTATTTAGGCGCACCCTGCTCAGCCCCCTGCTGTGGCCCCGCCTCAAGCTCTGGCCCCTCCCCCCGTCATGGCACCTCCGCCTTATACACCACAGCCTGCCCCTGTCGTGGCAGTGGCCCCGCCCCCATACACTGTCACCCAGGTGGCAACCCCAGCCAACCACGTCGTCGTCAACCCAGTAGGTGGAGCAACCACTTACACGACCTATCAGGTCCCAGCCAACCAGTACGTGATCCCGCCAGCGAATCAGACGGTGATTGTGAATGGAAGGCGAGTGGTGCGCAGCTATCCAGTCCAGAGTACGGTGTACGCATACCCAGGACAGACCTGCATGTACACATGCCAGCGTAAGTAACCACCATACCGTATTTCACTCAGCCCCTACCCTAACCCCACCCCCACGCTAACCCCACCCTCACGGCAACCCCAACTCCACCCATACACAAACCCCACCCCTAATTTCCAAATAAAGCAGATGTCAGGCTTGTTCAAAATTACAACAACAAAAAAACACAAAGTTGTCATTTAACCTTTCTGCATTTAGTAACCGGTTCCTCGTGTTTCTCCCCTGATGTAATTGTAGCATCCCATTGCTGTTATGACTAACAGCGTGAAGGTTTGAAAGTAAGTTCTTGTATGGTTTAATGAGAAAAATTGTCCATCATTTCACTGACACCATCTGGATTTGCTTCAGTGACATTTCTACACAGTTCACAACGAAAAACACCAACAGTCCTTCAAGTGCCAGACATATCATGTTGCAAATGCTTTACCAATCGCTGTGTAAATCACTACATCTTAATATTCTCAAAAAGGCCAAGCATTTTCCATTTCACACTTGTATCCCATTTTGAATGTTGCATTTAAAGGAAGTTTAACAAACAGCCTTTCTGCATCCGTACATCCTAACCAGTTTTGCTCGCAAAAATTACTTACGGGGCAACTTCAACTGGATGCGAATTAAAGGCAATGCAAAAGGCATAGCTCATACAAAGTTCACATTTATTTCAGATGTAACATCAGCATCGACACTGCAGTCACTCCAATCAATTATGCTAATGCATTACATTGATGCAGAGCGCATTGAGAATTTATGCAGAGCGCATTGAGAATTTCAGCAGACCTAATTTTTAGAAACAGCAATAGCATAATTGGTGCTTTGTTTCTGTTTGTTTTTTCCAGCATCGCAGACCACAGTAGTCTACCGTCGATGAAAGAATTCAAGAGAGGCTGGAGGGTTGAGGAGCTTTGTCTGCAAGAGTACCATTCTTTGATAATATTGGTTATCTTATAAACTTAGTTAAGTATCTGTTAGGTGGGCTACCTCTCTCATCAGGAGCACGTGCTGTTTTTCCCCGGAAAATGCCTGAATCACCAGACGTCTCTCAAAGGATTTGGGAACTTCTAGCTGTTCTCTCGTGTACAAGGATCCTATCTGTAAAAATGAGGTTTCAAATGGTATTAAGCTTATATTTGCTTCCTCAAGACCGGACAATTCTGAATAGAGGTTGAAATTGAAAGGTGACCAAGGAGCACTCAGAGGACATGTTTTTCTTCAGGTTTCTGGAGATACTTGTAAAGGTTTCAGGCTGTTCGCTGTCTGTGAAGGGCTCTCGTTCTTCGTGCTATGTGTTTTGGCAGCTGTCTGGAAGTGTCTGGTTTTGATGATGTTTATCGAGGAACTTTATTTCCATTCTTTCCTGGAAGTCATTTTTTGGCTTTCAGACACACTCAGAAATGGTTCATGCAAAGCTGAAGATCGTGTTTTGCAACATAAAAGTGTAGTCACAGGAAAGGAGGGAAATCTGTCTTCATTTTGAAAAGGATGTGCAGATACCTGATGGGCACTTATGAATAGATTTTGCCAGCTGAAATTGTAGAATCTTTGCTGCATCATCACCAAGTGCATCAGAATCAACCAATTGATTGAAAAGTTGGCCAGTTCCATCGACAATCTTATACGCGCTAAATATTAAGCAGAAGCTATAACATGAATTATGTCTTATATGTGATATAAAAGTACATTGCTTGTACATGCTTTGGCGGTGCTTTCTTGGTAATAGCTGATCATACAAAACAGTTTCCTTGTTATAGTACAATTAACCTGATTTTTGAAAATGGTTTTGATTTGTAAGGAGCGTAAATGAAAAAACACTTGTTTCAGTGCATCAAAGTGTCTGTCTTGGGGCCAAGTCTTTGGTGATATTTCGTTGGGAAATATTGCATTGATGTTTATTATAATAATCGGGACTTACTTTCTCAAAAATTCTCATGTAAATGTCATGCTTTCATCTGAATCGACACAAAATCATGAAAAACAAGATTTTATGGAATGTGAAGGAATTGGTGTTGGAGATTATTGTTGCTGTAAATTAATAAAATATAATTATTTTCAAATAGGATGAGAAATATTGAGGAATATCGTTTATAATAGCGCCTAATTTGTAGTGGAAAAAAACTGCAAATTTAAGAATTTGTCTATTTGTGCAAATGTAATGTATTAAGTGCAGTTGTTCAGAAAGTAGGATCGAATCCTCAAGCTGTGTGAAATGTACATGTATATAGACGTCAGCTGACAATCGCCTTGAAAGCAGAGAACGTAATAAGTAGTTTATAATCTGTGGAATTATGGATGAACACATCACATGATCCCTTGATTTAAGATGTAATACGCTTTTGTCTCTTTTAAGCCTTAACCCCGTAGGTGTATGTAAAATTATATTGAAATTGGAGGATTTGGAACTGTCAGGGCCATTCTCGTTGATCGAGTGAAATTTTCCTGTGTGGAATGTCAAGCGGTAAAATCACTCGAGCACTGGAATTGTTTAAAACTACTCCTTTTGTTCACTGCAGATTTGTAAAATGAATATTTGATTATGCCAAGTAGGCGTCTTACAATGTTTAACCATCCCTTGTTAGTGCAGCTTGCTTTGATGATCAACAAAGGTGAAAGGACAGATTAAAATATTTGAATAACAAAAATCTCTTTTGCTCTGATCGTGTTTTTCTCTTGGGCTGAGCTACTATAAGATGTAGAATGTTGCTTTGAAACGTTCGCCAATCACGTTGAAACGGGAGAATAAAGTTGTACAACTCTGGAGCGGTTCCAGGGGCACGCCCCCCCCGTTTAAATACAAAAAAAGGAAGAAAAAGAGGGAGGAGAAAAAAAAAGAGGGGTCGTGCTGCCTGAAATTGCACTACAGTACGCCTAGAATCCAAACTGGCTCAGGACCCCACGCCGTACGGGTAGTTTACCATTACTACTTTAGTTACCCCCCCTTTGGGAAAGTCCTGGAACCGCCCCTGAGAAACAGAATTCCTCGACATTACCATACGCATGCCGCGGCAGAATGATGTGTGTGTGTAATAGAGTACCGAAGTGAATAGATCACGCGCACAATTAGTGTGTAACAGGCATGAGCGCGTGAACCAGCGCGTGAACCAACGCGCGCGTACTCCATTCATTTGCACTGCACTTTCTGGTTCACAGTGACGTCACACTTCGGTAATCTATACGCGCCTGCGCTCAGCCCATTGTTACTTTTGGCCAATCAGAGAGCACGTTCCTCTGTATCCGGTTCGTAAGTGTGACGTCACTTCGGTTTAAACCACGCCCACTGCACACTTGCACTGCACATAGGGTTACATGCATTGATCGCCGTTTATGTGGAACCATGGAAGCAGAAGTTAATGTGTAACTTCTGCGATCGTCCAATGGGAGCCTGCGAATCGTGGCGCGTCTGCCTTTGTGACGAAGTCACTTACGAAACAGATGAAGGCAACGCGCACGACGTTGTGTTTATACATGCCTCAGATGTTACTTCGACTTTCAACACGCGTGTTGTACATGTACTTGACTTCGTTCGCGTACTTTTGAAAAAATTCTGAAGCCTTGAAATCACCGATATACACCAATCACTTCGAGAAACTTTTTAAAGGAAGTGTCTTAGATATAGGAGCCTTCCTTTGCAAGTAGATCACCATGATTACTTGCTTGGTCGTGCTAGCGATCGAGATACTGCACATCGCAGCGCCATGGGTGAAGGACAGATTGGCTGGCTCCTCAGAGTAAGTATTTATTTATTTATTGTGAAAATTCTTTTGGAGCATTATGTTTCCCCTTGGTACTTCAGATTACACCAGTTAATATTAAACCGCAAGCTACTGTTTGACCACAAGTTAACTTTCGATCGTCAGAACAGTAACGGTGTAGTGAATCCATGAATATATTAACGAAACTGCAAAGACCTTGCTGGGTAGCCGACATCAGAGATTGATTGAGTGAGTGAACGAGGCGAGCCGAGAAGCGAGGGACAGGCAGGCGGGTGAAGGGAGGTTGCAGGGGGGGCAGATGCATCTGCCCCCCTGCAACCTCCCCCTGCACGCACCCATCTAGATGGGTGCGTGGGTGGGGTGAGGGATGGTTGGGACAAAGGGTGAATGGGTGATTGAGGGGGTAAGCGATGGATTCGATTAGGTGAATTAGGGATTGGATGGCTAAATACCGACCGACTGATCGACCGACAGACTGTGTGACTGATCGACCGACCGATTACCTGACTAGTTTCTTAATTAACTATTTGTCGCTGAGGCTGTTTGATCCTTCAAATAATTCACACCGAAATGTAATAAATGTGTGCGTGTGTACCGCGACTTTACTCTGTGTGGCAGACCTATTGATGAAAACACCGAGGCTGAGCCCGAACCCAAGCCTGAGCCCCAGCCTACCACACCCAAAGTCGGCAAGCTCCGACTGACCAACAGCCATCGCCTCATCCTGGACATGCATATATGCCACCACAAGACCAACCAAACGGTGCTGAAGGTGAAGGAGGCTATGGTTTTCGGCTCGGCCGTCGAGGCTGAGTCCGCTGAGATCGAGCGACAAATGGCCAGGGAGAGGCGGCAAGTCGCCGTGGAGAAATCGGGCCTCGAAGCCGAGATGACAACGGAAAAGGCAGAGGTTGTTGCCAAGATAGAGGGCGCCCAGTGTTACATGACCGAGAGTCTAGCACCACAGCAAAGTCGACTCCGCGCCCAAGCCTCGCAGATCAAAGGGGAGATGTCGCTGAGGATGGACGAGTACGATGGCGTGAAGCAGGCCATCGAGAACAAGAAAATCCTAGATGCGGGATACAGGAAGCAAACTGCCGACACGGAGAGGCTGTTCAAGGTGAAATCCGCCCACCAGGTCACCGAGAAAGCCATCATGAACAAGCAGGAAAAGGTGAAGAAAGATTCCAATTTGATTTCAAACTCCTGAGATTCTATGAGAAAGCTAAGCAGCAAATCGAAGTGGTCTCTGAAACGTTATTGATTTTGTAGGTGCTCTTGTTGCTAAATGAATTCTGTTTTTCACCTTGGCATTTTCAGGATCTCACTGCACATATCAACAAGCTGGAGAAACGGATGTCCACTGTGACATCATATCGCCTGCCTGCTGTCAACCTGAAGAAACTGAATATGCACAACGAGGAGGCAGAGCTGCATAGGGCAACTGACGAGTACAAGTGTAGCGGGATTCCTCGGAATCAACTCATCATTGCTAGGGGGCGTCATTACGGAACAATGCTCGCTAACTTGGTTTTTACCGCACTTCTGCTGGTCTTCAACATTGGAATCTTCTCAGCTGCTTTCAAATTGGACTTGATGGACCAACTTATGGCCCACATCATGTATTAAAGATGATCTGATCCGGAAACCGTCGGTGGAAATTTGTCGTGGAGGGTCTGTGAGGATCACAGCATGGAAGGCCGTCTCGTTTTGGTGGCATGGGGGTTGTTCTGGCAAGGACCGGTGGGAGAATGCCTGAAGTTGTGTTCAGTCTGCTCTGATTATCTTCAAGAGAAGTGCAGGACTCAGAATGGATGCTGGTTAAGGAGAAAGTCTGGTGCTTGGCAGGGTGCAACAATGAGAAAGCTGACGCCGGGACTTTTGGATGGGGGAGAGGTATGTTGGCTCACTGAACTGTGGAAGGTGGAGACCAGCCTTAGTGGCGAAGGGCGGCTGGGAGAATGGTGCTTCGGAGGTGGCACTTGGCTGGAAATCGATGTCTAATGGTTGAGGTGCGATGCTTATGAGGATCTTGATGGCTTCCTGGATGTGCCCTGCTTGCCGGTTGGGAATGGTTGAGATATGAGCTCTGCTTCCTGTCAGTTGTTGCAGTCGTCAGATTGCTGGGATCATCTGACATTGGCTAGCTCGTCAGACTCTTCTGTGGAGTAAAGTGACCGGCTGCAGATCACAAGGAAAACAAAGCCCGTTGAAAGACGCGAGGAGTCTGACAAGTCAGCCATTATCAGACTGTTCTTACTGATCTGGTGACCGCATCGTCTGTCAAGAAGCACAGCTCGTCATCCCCCTCCATCCCCTACCGGGTCACACGACGCACCCAAGAAGCCACTGACATCCTCAAGCTTCACGCCATACCAAGCGGCATCGCTTCCCAGTGGAGTGACTTCCGACGCCAATTTCTCCCTAGCTTCCCCTCTCTACCAGCGCGAGTTTCCCACACAGCTCATTCATCACACACACCTCTGCCTCACTCCACGAACTCCAGGGTGATCCTTCTTATCCTCACACCTCGCCGAGCACTGGAGCTTCCAACTTGATCATCATCCACTACCAAGTCCTGCACATCTCCTGAACACGATCCGAACATACTGATCGAAACGTTGAGTGTTTTCTTTCCAGTTCCTCTCAGGAAAATTCTCTTCCCACTTAAAGGGGGTGTTTTTCCATGGCTCTACCGCAACCCGTCCACAGTTTGCTCATACACCATGCAAAATCTACAACAAGAAAATACAATTAGACTTACGAAACCTTCACCGGAATTGTACAATTGTAATTTATTCTTAAAAAACTCTTAATTCGTTGCTGCAAGCAATTATTCAGTTTTATTGTATCAATATTTAGTTTTCATGACAAGCACCAAATCAACTCACTTGTTTATTTTCTGGTGCACTGGATGAAGCTGACTTGGATTTACTTGGTCTCTTATTGACGTATCAACATAAAGAGAATCAGAAACCGTATCATTTTTTTTCATTGATTACTTGTTTGAAAACAACATCAAAGCAAACATTTTAAACGTCGTGATTTAAATTGAAAATATATCAAGTTATTACCAAATGGATTTGCTTCTGCTGTTGATGACGGGTTAACTAGATATAACTGTCAATATTTCACTGAAAGTCATTTGTATAAAAATAAAATAAAAAAAATAAAAGATCAAAAGCTCAAAAAAATATTAAAATGTACAAAAACTAAAAAAAAAGTTAAATAATCAAAAGCAAAAAAATATTAAAATATATAAAATTAAAAATTAATACAATTACAAAAAAATTAAACCATGGTCCCATTGCGTCATTTTACTCGAGTTTTTCCCCGTATGTTCACGATTTGATAACGTGATTATTATATATTTTATAAAATAAACATATTTCACTAAACCTCTCAACACAAAGCTACTGATTGCATCGCGTACCTGGGAAAAAACAACAAAAACAAACAACAACGGAGCCCATTTTGTCTTAATGGATGCAAACTTCGTGTTGCCGTTTATCTTCATTTGGGAATGTTGTATTAATTATTCATTAGCCCAACACACAGTTCCCCATCGAACATTATGCAGGCACTTTTTGACACACGCCCACATGACTCAAGCTGCTCAGAACTTGTAGCAATTCCTCGAGACGCCACGCAGAGCCCGAGTGCCGGAAGTGCGTTTCCGTCTGACCGTGGTTATAGCTGGCGTGGTTATCCCTTGACATAACCATCGACAATACAGTCCAGCGGACGGCTTGGAGCTGCAACAGAGCCGAGTATTCTCCTGTCAGAAAGAGCAGCAGTGCCGGGTAGCACGGCCTGGGTGGACCGACTGCTGGGGTACCGGTGAACTCACCTTCACTAGTTGCCCTTCACACGAGCAAGAGTCGCGTCAAGGGGGGAAATGGCCTTCTTCAAGCGAACCATCGCAAAGCGATTCGATCTTCTGTTCCGTCGCAAACGACGGGGAAAGTTTGTGGAGTGCGTCCACAAGGTGATCGAGGCTCGTCGCAGCGGATGTATCGACGAGGATGGAAACATCCTGAAGCCGCTGACAGAGATGTTGGCCGCCCACGAAAAGCTTCACAACCAGGGAGGTAACTCCAATGGCCCCATCGAATCAGCGAGCGAAGAGGCGCTCAAGGTGGAGACACGGAACATGCACCGCCCACTGGCTCGGCAACAGGTCGTCTCCATACGAGATTCCTACCCTCTGCCAGAGGAAGATGACGGCTCCGAGGGCTACGCTTCCGCCGGAGAAACCGATGATTCCTTCAACCCCACGGCCTTCCTGGAGCGTAATCGCCGCGCCAACAGCAGGCGGTTCTCCAACAACAGCGACGACGGCAGCCACAGTAACCGGCGCGTTCGCTTCTCGGACGAAGTGCAACAGTTTGGAGGCCTGGACAGTGACGATGTCCAGGAGGAACTGCCCATCCCTCCGCCCGCCGAACCGGAAGAGACCCCCGAGGAGCCGGACCTGAGCTCCATGCCGTTGCTCCGCAAGATTGAGTACTTCGAAGAGGTCCTGGAACGCCTGAAAAAGGAGAGGGGTCAGAAGAAACTGGACGGTATACTGGACCCGCCACCTAGCCCCTGTCCAGGCTCGCCCGAAATTCGGCATCGCGTCAAGCTTTTCGAGGACATATCAAGGGGTATACTGCTTGAGCCGGCGCCGCCCAAGCCGCGCAGAGCCGTGCGGTCGTGCCAGTACACGCAGACGAAATCGAAGATTAATTTCTTCGAACAGTTGAGCTACAAGCGATGAGTGGTCGTCGCGGTGAAAGAAAGATATTCTTGAGGGCTTCTAAAGATGGATTTTGAGGTCCAATGAACTCTAAGAATTTCTTCAGTTTCAAGTTGTAGCTTCTTCATGTCTTTGCTGAAACAGCCCCAAACGGAATTGAAGTGTCATTAATCTGTCTGCAAAACATACAAAGTGTCTCCGTGTAGCATAACATCAAAGGGATTTAAACATTCGTTCGTGGTTTGTAACCTTTTATGGAAAAAATATGCATCATTCAGATGAAAGTATCTGACACTTTTATTTTCAAATAGAGACAAATTTGCCAATAAATCCAACAAATTAGCCAAGTGGATGTTCTCCTTGCAGAAAACTCTATTCAAAAGAGAAAGGTTTGGTGAAAGAAATTTGTGATTTGGTTTGGATTTGTTCAAAACTTTTCTCAACAATGCAGATGCTAGAAACTTCCAGGCTGACAGTGACTCACGATCCGAGAATTCTTCTGGCTTTGTCAGCCGACCCATAGCTCAGCAATTGGACAGAGGATCCCCAGGGCTGCAGTATCTAGACAATGTCGACACCGGTTTCGAGGCTCTACTTGCTGATATATGAGAGTCACGACAAGGCTGGAAAGGAGTTGTACTCCTTTGAGACTAACCATCGACTCAGCAACTTTATGTCGTTGATGCTGGGTGCCAAATCACTATTGAAAAATACCCAGATTTATTTCTTATTGCAAGCTACCTTGGTCATCATTTACTTATTTCTAGGAAAACATTCAAAGAATCTGGGTAACTAGAAACCCATTTGATGTAGGGCCGATTCAAATACCTCAAGCAAAAGGAAACGAATTTCAGGCTATATTTTTCATGTAATTGTGAGGATCGCCGTAACTTGCACGAAGTTGCTGCGATCTAACATTTTGATAAAATTTTAAACCGGATTTGAATCAAGATTTTGTCGTAGGAACAAATCTCGTGCAGATTTACAAAAGAAAACGGCTCTGACAACTCTCTCATTGGCACAAGAGCGGAAAGGAAGGACAAACGCATTTAAATTGTAAAAAAAATTGAATAAGACAACAAGAAAATGCATTTTGCACAATTTGACACCAACAGGACCATTCCTTTCCGATCTCCCTGCGTTTCAATACCATCTAAGCGAAGTTTAGATGGCATTGAGATGATGAACTGCATATGGTTTGACCTGTCGATATTTCGTTGCCGTAAACTTAATGTTGAACATTCCTACAGGAAGCCGTGGCAAACATGACTAACTCTCTCGCCCGTTCGCATGAGGATTAATCACTACTTTCTTTACTGGTAGATAGCATGTATTGAGAAAAACAAATAAGCACATCGACAAATCTGCACAAAGTGATGTCTGAAATGTTAGCCATGCATTTGGAGAAGTAACTGGGGTTAATTGTCAGCCTTTGGTGTGGTGTTTCAATTTAACGTTAATTTTAACTCACGACCACGAATTACCTTTAACTGTATACACAGTGACGTCATAGTATTGCCATATGCAGCATGATCGTGACGTCACGTTTCAGTCTGTGTCCTGTCAGTGAAAATGACTCGCATTAATTAAAGAGGCCTTATGAACCACGAACAGTATCTTAATTCATACAGCAGGTTATCAAACCGAAAACCTAAATTTATGGCCATAAGCAGAGCCCGGTTGAGCGCTAAAACAACTGACATTTCTAGTTTAAACAAGATGCTTCTGCCCACGAGTGATGCCTGTGCTACACATCGCATGTAAGCTTAGAACTTACGGTACCTTCCACGGGTGACTGTGCTGGACAAAAATAGAAAGTTCCATCAAAATCTGGCCGAACCCACTAACAACTACTTCCTGCGTCTTTGTAGCGCGCATGTGGGAGGCTGCGATAGGACTTTGAGTCAGACTCGACCCTCGATATCCTGATATATATGTAGATTCATCTCGATCTCCTTTTTGTTACTGATCTTTCATCAACAAACCATTTCTGGGTAAAATTCGTCAGCTATCAAATTAATCCCTCCTCATTCAATGTAATCCTGGGGTCTTTAATTATTAAGTTGATGAAAATCTCAGAGCATTAAAAGGACATACAGTTGCCATTATGTGTCTTGTATATTCTGGTAGAACCTATATATCCACTATCTTTTTCAACAGGTGGACAATTTATATTATTTCAAAAGACTGTGAACAATCACTAATATTACCATATATATTGTGGTTGAATTATTGTTTTGCGCAGTTCACAGATTTCGCCAGTTTGTAGATTCTCGTAAGCTTGTATATACATTCTTGCCTCTTTCCAAAAAGCACCGCGGATTAGACTAATTTAAAGATGGCGTCCGTCACAGTAGGCGAATTTGCAAACTTGAAGTTTCGTTAGTTTAGGGATTTCTAAGGAATTAGTGAAACGATGCTATCGCAGAAGTGAGGAAAAGCCGCGAAATATGGTGGAGAAGGTTTCGAAAATTAATGTGCCTTGAACTTCACACCCTTTAAAGCTCATTTTAATATTCTCAGTGACGTCACAAAAGGTTTTAAAAATGATATAAAAAATGGCATTCCGATTGTGCCAATGGCAGATGACTCATTAAAAAGTAGTGTCCCTGGCACTGGAACAATTTTCTGGAAGTGTAAAAACTTTAATTTTGCATCGAAGCACCAGACAATTTCTCTATCTAGAAAAGGGGGAAAAGTAAAAACAAATATTCTAACGTGAACTCAGAACGCAATGTCTTCCCTCATTTCGATGGACGCCAATTTCACGGGGGAACCATATAATTAAAAAAATACTTTTGTGTTGTTGATGACTTTGGTTTCTTATTTGTCAAATTCAAAAAGATTTCCGTTCAGCCGACAGCCTAAACAATATGCACTGTCATTAAGAATTATTAAACTGTATAAAAACTTTTGATAAATGTTGAGTACGGTAATGTTTCTACGATTGAAATTGTCTATCGTAAAAAAAATATTATGTAATATAACTACAACTTATATAAAATGTAGTTCATATTTTATACATTTTCCTTTTGTATATCCGTGTGTAAAAAGTTAGGTATCGAACATTTTGGATGTATCCAGGACGGGACAATAAGTCATCGTCATAGGGTGTGAGTCAGGGTTCGAGACATCTCCTGTTCTGGATCCACCCTTGCTTTCATATTTGGAATTGCAGAAACTAGCTTTCATTTGTAGTCAGAGAATGACACTCTATGAACGTTTCAACCTCAAGAAAAAGAGTGAGTTTTGAAGAGGCAAAAGGGAAGCTTTTTGTTTATAATGTAACCTGTTTTTGCTAGTATTCCCTAGAAATAAAGCGAAACCTTGTCTATATGCAAAATGTTGTGTTTCGTTGTCATTTTTTCTGTCATAATTATTTAACGCCTCGCTCCGAAATGCAGCAGACCCAAGAATTTATGAAGCCGTTGGATGCAAATTTTTTTAATTCATGGGTGGGGTTTTCCCCAGAATAAATGCCCCCATAATAACAAAGACCTCGATGAAGTGGCCGCTTCTTGCCATCTGATTTTGTTTACATTTAGTCTTTCTCGGAAGAGGCGTTTTGGTTCATGCAGTCGTCAGACACAATAATGCAAAATTTGTCTGTTCCAGAACATATAACTTAGGCCTATTGTTGTTAAATTTTCAACAAAGATTGCATAACGCGACGAAAAGAACTGTTCCCGTGGTGAGTTCTAGAACACGCCCAGTTTGAATCCTCCCCATTCACCATCTCAGTCCACCTTGGGAATTAATCATATCATATCATATCCATTCACCGAGGCAAGATAAAACCACAGGCCTTCCAGCTGAGGCAATCCTGAACTCGACCGCGAAACGTGGTAGTCGGCACGGGTCGGGACCAGGCACACACGCGGTAGGGTTTATTCTTAGACTAGTACCTCACTGTGGCCTCTTCGATGTGTGATTCATCAATTATAGGCTCAGCGAGGGCAAATATCAGGGCCATATTTAAGTTTCCTTCCAACCTCAACTCCATGCTTTGAGTGAAACTCGGTGAAATGGATGGTGGCAACGTCAACTCTCTTCAGTCAGATCAACTTGAAGATGAATATACCGCACAGAATTGGGTGCATGTTTAATGCCAACCTTGATTAACAGAGAGACAGACGGATATACGGACATACAGGGGAAATCACAAAAGTTCTCACGTCTTCTACTACTTACGCTACAATCATACCACACCCTCCCTCCCCCCATTTTGAATGAGTTTTCTTGGCTTAATCACTTTTTTATAACTTAAGACCACTCTGAAAGTTATCTTTATAATTTCAATTCCTGAACAAGAAGTGCGTCTTTCCATCATTGACGCAGTCCGCTTCATGCTTGCGAGGGAGTGACGGGGATTCTTAAGGGAAGACATGACCTGACCTCGCCCACAGAATCGTCAGATCCTGGGTTGGAACAATGCCAAAGTGCTATACTGAGCCCCTGGTGGTCTTGGTACCGAACTGTATTGTGGCGAAAATAATACAAACGTTCAACTCACAATAAACACGTTAACTCTGCGCGCTGGACCCACGCCTGCCTCCGGTATAATTACTACGCAAGCGGCCGCCATACCGGTAGATTGGTGGAACCAGAGAGCAATTCTGCTCTTTTACGGTGGAACATCAAGACCCGTTCCGTAAAACTCTTTTAATGTTTTGCGGCACCAACGTGCCGACTCACCGAAGTGTGTTTGAAAATGATGACCGTCTGTGCCGTCATTTTGACGGGAAAGCAAAGAATTTCAATTTTGGACGCAGATTACTGCAGAGCTGTCACTGCCACTCTAAAAACACCTGGGTCAGACTGACCCGGAATCTGGGTCCCAAAGGGTCAAATGTGACCCAAAACAGGTCATAATTTGACCCGGAAAAGGGTCAGGCCCCATGGGACCCAGATTCCAGGTCAGTCTGACCCAGGTGTTTTTACTTTTAGAGTGTACACGTCGGTGAAGTTCAATGATGGGCCGGCTATACGTCACTCCTACGCGAAAAAGATGTTCCGCTTGAACCTGTGATACCCGACTCTCCCTGTCAAGAATGACGGACGCGGGTAGAGCTTCACCCTGCGCCTATTACAATCTCTACCCCGCACGCCGTATATCACCTCGCAATTGACAGATCCGATTAAATTTGACCAGCGCGCCCGTCGGCGACTAGGCAATCTGAAGCGAAGTGACAAATTGCCCTGAATTTAAGTTTACATGTAGCTGGCGCATCATGAGCCTGAGAGGGAGAGCGGTCACTTATCATTAATCGGTGCAAGTCCGAGGCAAGCGTTTCTCTTAGTTGCTCCATCACGGTTAAAGAATCTATCGCGGGCCGACAGCCTTGGCTCTGTGGACGTAATTATGATGAGTAATAAGCATAAAGTGGACACAGGATTTCCCACGAGGGTCGACGTAAGCTTGCAATAATGATTAGACCTCAGACCAGCTGTACCGCCTCTCACGGGAAGATGGAGATTGACACTCATAATATATGGTCTTTCCGCAGGGCAAATCTGCCAATTTAGAAACAGCCGTCAACCAACTCTAAATCCAGAACCAAACTTTTGGGAGCAACGTTTTGAGGATGGGGCCAAAATTTGACATTTTCTTCTTATAATATTATAAAGGCCTGGGGGTGACGCTTCATATGGGGCGTTTTACATTCACCGGGACGGAAGGAAATGAAACAGTACCAAAAAAGGTCATCCATCAGGGCACAAAATCACAAAATATTGCCCTTTGGGTCACAGCCCCTTTCTCCTCGACATTGTTGTCACGTAGCCTCATCGCTGCCATATCGAGAGTGAAAAACTAAAACGACATACATTAAAACAAAATACCCAAAGTTTTTTTCCCAGACCCCTGGCTCTGAGACCATGCAGTACTACTTGAAATAAAAAGATAAAACGTTTACCCCTGCCAACACCTCGAATGTCCCCATATAGGGATACTGTTACCAGCAGTAAACAAAACGTGCTCCTCAACTTGTTTCGTTGAGTATTAAGTTTTGGTCTAGAAGTAGCCAGTTGGGGCGACGTATCTTTAATCATAAACGATTTCACCGGAAGTGCAACGCATCTTCTCACGCAACAGTCAAAATGTTTCATGGTGAGTCTTACTTTTCTGTGCAGCCAACTGTTCGTTCGTTTTTTTTTTTTGGTAATCTTTCTGTTGACGTCTTGTGTCTTTCCAGCCTCGCGTGGAACCGGACAGCGGATTTGAGCCGACCTAAGTCATGGCTGACCTTCACGGTTTGGTTTAGATTATTGCATTTGCTTGATCTCTTGGGTCAGGCTTTCTTCAACTCTTATCGATTCAAGGCACGCTGCATTCTACGAAACATGCAAAGGCAAATAAAACCAAGTGAGACCCGGCGGGTACACCGAATATTTGTCTTGTATTGGTTTACAGGAAATGGAAAGGGCGTCTAGTGGGTAAGGAGTCTCAGACGGGAAAAGTGGCTCCAAAATTTCCATCTCAACCTGTAAATTCAAGATGATGACAAACCCGCTAAAGTTTAACCCACGCCCATGCCCGACCAATCCCTTCTCCAAATTATTGTAGGCCTGCACCTATACATTCTTGTTCTCAGCTCAGATGCTATTAGGCATGTGCGATGTTTTTCAAGGACTTGGCCGACTGCACTTTATTAAACTGCGCCCTCTATACAATTGATTGCCAGCTTCTTGTCACGTGACTGAATCCCTTCACGGACTGCACATATCACTCCGCATATTTCAGTAAAATATAGTCAGCTTTTTGGATATATCCTATCCATAGATTAAAATATCAAGGCTTTCAAAGAGTTATTTCGAAGTTAACTCTTCGTATCAATAGGAAGTAAGCGAAGAAATTTATATTTTACATAAATTTATAATGTAGGTCGTTGATAATTCTGAACGCAAAGGCGTACTTCGTCCGTGGCGCCATCTTGCTTCTGCTTTTCGAAATTCTGGTGAATTAATGCGTCTAAAAATCGCTTGAAAATTCATCTAAAACGTGAAAAGTACGACCGGTATACCACGTTAATCGATGGAGTATATGTCAAAGATGGCACTGTTATAAAAACTGCTTTAATCAGATGCTTCCTGGGACGGTTCATCAAGTTATAATCCAACGTTAGCTTCAGCTAATCGAAAATAAACGAGGTGTTTGGACTATAGAAGGTAAGAACGTTCATGCGATACTGAATGAAACCTGCATCGTTATACAAAATAACAATGCACAGCAACAGCAAATTTGACTAAGCTGTTTCTTCCGTTATCTAGATCAGATTCTAAGATAGAGGGTGTACTAATTAAACATTCAGAAATATCATTAACATCAAAGAGGTGTTTAAATGCATAACAAAGGCATGTGTAAGTAATAATGTGGACGAATGTTGTCGTACGACGCCTACGGACCATTGGGAAGGATAGTCGCCCCCTGACAAAGGCGAAGGCGTATTGCGAAGAGATTACTCTTACCAAGTCGCCCCATATTAAATCGGCCAGAAGCCAACATCGCCTGTTAGTGTTACTTATTGGCCTATCCCGTTTTCATTGTTTGCAGTAGAAGGTAATTCATGTGTGTAGGAGAAAATTAATTTTTTTTATCATGTTTATACTTTTTGATGAAAGAGTTCCATACTATACTGGCCCCTTGCCCATGGACAACAATAATTTTCCCACAAAATGTTATAACAGCCATTAGAAAGCCATAACATGTCCTAAAAAAAGTGAAATTTAGCTAAGAACATTCAGAATCATTTACTTGTAACTTTGCATGTAGGCCTAGGGTAAGTGTGGGAATTTTTGACCCGGGGGAGAATTCAACCAACTGCATTCAAAAACTACACAGCTGGTCGAATTTGTTGCATTTCTTATAGGGTTGAATACCCCTACCTTTACCCTACTTAGAACACACAAACATATAGGTTTGTGCAAGGAGCATCAGTTGTTGTCGACAGGCCTGTATCCTGAAACTTTCCTTTTTGGATGATTAATCCTGGCCTAGGCCTATTTCGTTTTCAGTCTGATAAACATTAAGATAGAGTTCAAATATGCAAAGCTCTGCTGTCAAACTTCAAAACATGTCAAGCTCATTACTTTGGCCGAAATGCCGTCTGTCCATTTCAGCATATTTTGAGAACCTTTGAAAATCTGTGTTTGTTTTAATATTGTTATTACTTTAAATGGGACTTGATGGCTCTCTAGAAAATTAAGCATAAGTAAAGTCCTTCTTGGGTTCACCCATACTGGTTGATTGTGGAAGAATAATTATTTGGTTTTGTACCAGTGTATGGTTCAATGCCATGCCATGGTCCACACCTCCCTTTGTGGATGAGCTGATTTCCCGTCGTTTTAATTTGTTGATAGGCACAGGTGCCCTTGTTAATGAGTTGATCTCCGTCGCTTGATGTTTCCCTGGCCACCATGAGCATCAGTAGCGATGAAGTCAACTTCCTAGTCTACAGGTATCTCCAAGAATCAGGTGAATATGTTGATTTTTCTCTCCAGAAAAGTTCATTCACTCTTATTCAAGGCTGCTGATCGTCGGGTGTTTAAAACATTTGAGTCGTGACCAGTTTTTGTTCCTAACAGAAAAGCCTGAACAGGGGCATTAACCTGACATTCTCTGAGTGATTCAAAAACACCAAAAGCCGGAATTTAAAATCATCTCAAACAGAAAATGGGCATTTTGAGATGGTAAATGGCATTGTAATTTATGTAAAATTCAGTGACCTATTTCGTTTAGCAAAGTCAGTTTTCAAAACCGAACTTGTAATTTCCCCAACAACTTTGCCTATCATTGACGGTCTTTTCAAAGCATGCAGAAATATTAAGTCACTGAATCCAACTCTAAATTTGATTAATTGTAACCCACCTCAATCCTCCAAAACCCTCCCGGTGGTTTTGGAGGATTACTGAGGATTCAGGATGAATGATAATTTGAACAAAGGAGGATTTTAGAGGATTCAAGATGAATGATGATTTGAACATTGGAGGATTTTGGAGGATTCAGGAAGAATGCTGCTTTACAAGCTGGAGGATATTGGAGGACTGAGGGTGAATGAATTACTAAAAATCAGTCACAAAGTGGTGCATATGGTCACACATTATACTGTTTACAATATACACGTACCAAGGACGGTGTGTTCCATTGTTCACTGCTGCTGGTCATAAATGACACAATCCTCAACTGCAGTCTGTTAAAACAAAGGCATATGTCTGCTGTGTTAATGACAAAAGTAAAGCCGTCAGCCAACTCTCTAAAAAAAGGTCAGCCCAGCAACCAACGTGATGTGCCCACTCCTCCCTCCCCCCCAAAAAAAGTAGGGCCATGTAGGATTTTGGAGGATTCGGGTACCTTTCAATTTGTGCATAATCCCAAAAAATGGAGGATTTTGGAAGATCATGGATGTGCCCTAGTAAAGAGGCCCTAGTGGGTTAGGGTTAAACAAGTGAAAAGAACATTTTAGAGACTGTACACAGAGGTTTTCCAGGGCCGCTCTCTGGGAAATCAAAGAGACTAAGGATTCTAATTGTAATCCTGTGCATAAAAACTTTTGTCTTGGGGAGAGCATGTGAGTTGCATTTGGTTACCACTTCAGTCTTGGCCTTAACTCCTTCGTGTGCCAGGGTTGTGATTTCTCAAGATTTTTTATAGATTTTAGGATTTTTTGTAGCCTTACAATTTTGGATATTGTGAGATCGAATCATTCAGGGTTTGTTGCTTTTTTAAAAATGCCAGATTTGTGAGGGAACATATCCCTTGTCAGCTGTCAAAAGCCTTGAAATCAAAACAATTATTTTCTTACATTAACAATCAAAACAATTATTTTCTTACTGTCCATTTTACGGCCCCAATACTTGATGTTGTGTGGATTTCTTTTCCCTGGTTCTCATCCTGATGAAAACGTGATGCCCTTTGCTTCATTTTCTATGCCAAGTGAAAAGATTTTTTTTTTTTTTTTCAAATGTAAAGTTAACCAAAAAATAGCAAGAGTCACCAAGCATGAATTCCATTAGATGTCCTTAGAGACGTGCGGAAAAGACGTTGAGTGCTCAAATCACCTGCAGCTAGTCTGCCAAATGTTTGTCGCAGTCTGAATTATGGAATACTGAACCCCATCCAGGTCATTGCAAAAAAGGGTTTCATAATTTGTAGATGGAGAGGGGCTGTAATTACTATGCAGACGATGGTCGGTCTATTAAGTTTATGCAACATGCTATTATAAAAATAGAAATCAACATACATGTATCTTTATTTGAGCTTGGAAGAAAAGGATTAAATTGTTTTCCAGTGAATTCCCAATCCCTCATGCTGCAATGATTTGTGAATGAGTTTTACCGTTATGCTCAAAGGTTATCTTTATACATGTATCATGTATAAAGATTGTTACTGATTTTATGTACAGTTAACATTGTAATAAATTTTCTTGTGTAATTGTAACTTCGGCCGCATCCAAATTACTTGGTCATGGCTTGAAATTACACACGACTGTATGGGAACTGGCTTTGGCCACTACCATAGACTAGTGCGTAATTTCAGGCCACAGCCAAGTTATTCGGACACGACTTTCTATAACTGACCTAGGTCGTGACCTAAATTCTCTCAAGCGTTTCCTCTCTCTGTGCTGTCTTTGTGCGTTTGCAAACAACACCGTACAGTCGAACACTAATAATAATGGCACTGTATACACAACAGCCTGCTTATGATGATTTTCAGATCCCCAAATCTTGGTCGTTTTCCAGTACTGGTAATGCTAGGTCCCTGTTATGGCACGGGAATTTGTAAAGTCACAACAAGCTTATTATAAATGTGTGCAACTGTACATTTTTTCATCACATCTTCACACCAGCACAAGTATTCTCTCATGAAACCAAAAGATTAAAAGCTGTTGACATTTTTCATTGCGTTATTATTATGGTAATGTGTAGTATTGTATTCAAAAGTCCTTACCTAAATTCTTCACCAAAATTGGAATGTTTACTGGTGTTTGTTTGTTTTTTTCTCTCTACCTCCTTGGGTCCGCAATGGGTAGGATTTTCTCATTCAGCGTTCACCTTTGGCATAGAGAGCCACATCAGCCAGTCCAACATCAACGGAGCCCTGGTGCCTCCTGCTGCACTCATCTCCATTATACAGAAGGGTCTCCAGTACGTGGAGGCAGAGATCAGCATCAACGAGGTACGTGACCTGTAATCACTCGGGCTTAACCTTAACTTTCTGTAGATCGTCTACCAGTCTGTGGCAGGTGCGGCTAATGTGTTTTCCCTGCTTTGTAAATTTTAAAACGTAAAACACTGCTTTCCTGGTGTGTATTATGTGGACTGTTTCCATCGTACAGTGTCGTAACCATCCTTGATCTTTCGGAATCCAGTGACTGGTAATTGTGTGATTTTCAGACGCTCAGCATAGCAGGGCCTGACTGCTATTCACGTGATGTAGGCTTCACTGCTAGTGAATTACTGTGGGGGGGGGAGGAGAGTGTGGGTTGCAGAGGACTTCAGGAAGGTACCTTGCACAAGGGTATATCAGGTGTGCAACTTTGCCTCGGATCAGAGGTACCTTGCACAAGGGTATATCAGGTGTGCAACTTTGCCTCGGATCAGAGGTACCTTGCACAAGGGTATATCAGGTGTGCAACTTTGCCTCGGATCAGAGGTACCTTGCACAAGGGTATATCAGGTGTGCAACTTTGCCTCGGATCAGAGGTACCTTGCACAAGGGTATATCAGGTGTGCAACTTTGCCTCGGATCAGAGGTACCTTGCACAAGGGTATATCAGGTGTGCAACTTTGCCTCGGATCAGCTGGTTTCCTCCTTCTTCACTTTACACTCATGCCATTGAATAGTACTGTGCATAGTCTTGTAGAGATTAAAATTTCCTCGTTTTTTTGTCAAAGTCAGTTACGTGCCTGATAATATGCAGTACAGCCAGTACTTTCCACTACCCTAGACACCTTGACACACCTTGAACCCTAACTTCCTAATAAACCTTCCTGAATTATCCAGAAACCCGTCGCCCAGTGGCACATCCTTTGCACTTTGACCTTGGCATCAAGTCCCATGTAGATTTGAGAGTAACAGAGGCTGGGCCCCTTGTTTCCTCAGTTGATGAAAATTTGCCGTTTGATTTTGAAGGTTCTGGGAGGGTAAGCTTTCAAGTCTGGATAATTCTTCACCCCTTTGAGCGATCTAATATACCGGTACATGTGCATTTTGATTAATTTGAGGATAGAGGGGCAACCCCAAAGTTGATGCAACATAACTATTTTCTAACAGCCCCACCCATTGCACAGTCGCCCTGGGGTGGTGGATGCATCCGGTCCTGTGGGATATTCTTTTACTGGGGCCATGTCCGAATTACTTGGCTGGGGCCTAGAATTACGCACGATTCTATGGTAGTGGCCGCAGCTGGTTCCCATAGAGTTGTGTGTAATTTCATGCCACAGCAAGGTCATGCGGACACAGCCTGTCCAGGCCAGAAAAGATGAGAGGCTGATCAGAAAATTCATGCATCAGTTTAATGGAGATTGTTTGGTAAAGTGCCTCTAAGAGTCACTACAAGAGCAAGTGAAACATGGACTTTTTCCAAGTGTTTTTTGATTGATGCTTGTCCAATTTGCGCTGTATTAGTCATCCGATTTCCTTGGCTCAGCAGTTATTGATCACGTGTGAGAAAAAATACAGGTACCCGAAAAATCAGAACGTGATTTGAATTATAACCTTGCCGTCTGGAATTGAATTGTAGACATATGTTTACAGGCATGTGATGTAACAGGAAGTTTGCCAAGATCTACGCACACACGTACATTGTACCCACCCCGCAAATTCTTTTTTTGTCTCTATTTTATGTTAAAGAGGAAACTGACTCAATGTGGACTCATTCATTTGAATGGTCGGGTCACCCATGTGAGTCAAAGTTCCGGGGAGCATGAATCACACATTTGCAGAAAACGAGGGTCGAGCGTTGGCAACATTGCAGAAATGTCTCAGCTTCGACTTTTTCCCCCAAAGAACGTAAAACCCCATAGGTAATGCTCATCTGTCAGCGAATGTGGAAGACATCCCTAACAGGTTTTTTTCCTTACTCATATCTATGTATGGAACTGTCTAGATCTTCACTACAGAACAAGAAGCTTAAACAAATTTTATTCTAAAATGTGAGAGCTCGTGGCCTTTAGTTTGTTTGTTTTTTTTGCCTGATGAGAATTTATTTTGTGATGAGAAAAGCCTCCAAACAAAATAAAAATTACTTGGTAACCTTTCAACGTTACCAAGTCGGTAAGGTTGACAGGATCAAGGTAAATGGCAAAAGGCAAGAGGGCCTCTAGTCCCAGACAAGTACAACTCTATATGCATAAATTGGCCAGTCACAGCTCAACACCTGGGGTACCGGATACCTGACCTCTGCCCTTTCATGTGGATGGAAGGCTCGGCTGATAACTGCCCTCCTCCTGGAACCTTGATCCTAAAAGCACTGCCAATAGAGAATCCTGCTCACACCAAGGAACATGTCAGATCCTAAATCTTTGCAATTTTTGTTTTTCTTATTCCTGAGAAAGCTGTTATATAACACAATGAATGGAGAAGCTCCAAAGACGGCATTCTGAGGCAGTCTGACTTTATTTATTTCATTCCAGGGCATGACATACACTTAAAGTCAACAGAGATGCTAACGGAGCAAAAGCTTAAATTTTTTGTCTGTTGGTTTTTTAAAGCACAAACATACTTCTTGTTCAGTGATTCAATTTCATCTAGCTATGTTTCCACTCTGTCATCAAAAGACACGCTTTGGCAAAGACCTGTTCTAACTTGCTCCTTTAGATCTAAATTCATGCACTGGTCATCTCTGGATGGTCTGATATTTGAAGATGACGTCCAGTTTATCCTGGGTGTAGGAATCAAAGGGTTGATTCAGTTCACAGAGTCTCCACTGGTCAGCTTTTGCTGTCTTACCTGGTAGCATAGCATCCAGTGACAAGAATCGTTAAAAAGCCAGTGTCACTTTTACCCTCCAGGATGGCTCGGTGTTGGACAATGGCTTTGACTCATTATCGCTGATAGATGCCGTCATGCCTGATGTCATCTCGTCCCGGAAGAGCGAGCTGACGAGGCAAGCAGCGGCCAACACCAACAACAGCAGCAAGGTGGATGGGGCCAACACAAACGGGGACGACGTAGCACTCAACTCAATACAAGGTAGGCAGCCAGGCTCTGGTTAGGGGCATATGTGGGGTGGAGGGGACAAGTTGTCTCCTGGAAACATGTTGCCTCTTTCAGGATTTTGCGAGCGCTTTCATCAAAAATCACTTTTTTTGCAGGGGGTGAACATCCTGTCATGGATGAAAAAATTTGGACTCTTTATAAAAATAAATAACCCCTTTACTCCTTCCCGGGACCCAAAACTGGATTCACCATCGGTTCTTGTCGCGGACAAGTTTGTTTTCATCAACGCTTGTTTGCCTGCATCATTGTGTACTCCAAGAAGTCCGAATAGTACGTCAGGATTTGATATTGACCACTGCCAGTGCACTATTGCCACATGTGCTGTTCTTTTGTGCTTGTGGTACTGAAATTTATCTTGTCCCTTTCGCTCTACGTTTTTGTAGAAGATTCTGTACAAAAAAAGTTGGATCGGACTGAATCAGCAGTTTTCAGTGAGTGCCTGACTAAATCCCACAACCTAGGCCGTGGAAAGTACATGGCCGATGTCACCGGCTTTTGGCTCATACTGGTTTGGACCAGTTACCGAACGAATAATTATTTCTAAGAACTGGTTCTCAGTTGGCCAGGTGAATCAGTTGACTGAGTAGTATTGTAATGCTTAAAATGTTAAGCTGTAAATCTGAAACTCAGTGTTGACACATTTTTTGGCCATACTCAGCTGAATACATACATGTACATTTACTTGTGAAGAAGTGGTAACAATAATAGTGTGAAACACAGGTGTCACCTTTGTTCGAGCCTGGATGGCTAACTCGTCACACATGGCACGTCATGCGCGATCCACAGGTGTGCCATGACCCACTTTACCTTACAGCTTACAATTGGCATGGGTCACGTGGCACCGTACCTTGACCTGATAGCCAAACCATTCAATCCAGCCGTGGATCCCTGGAAGACAAAACACCTGGGAACAGTGACTCACCGCACACAGTCATACACACCTTACAGAGTTCTGTGTTCATCCCTAGCCTAATGCAAACAGCAGTTGAATGGCAACGTAGATTACAGCATACAGGCTCAAATGCTTTGAGAATAATTTTGAATACTTGACGTATGCGTAAAACTAACCAGCTGTCTTTTTTGAGTTTGTATTTTGTGTATGAGACCCTGAAGTTACAAGGAACATGTAAAATTACATCTCCATTCTTGCCATGGTATTTATTGAATTCTGAATTCGAATGAGGAAACTTCATTACAGGCTATGAATTCTCATCGGTGGTTATTAAAATTCATTGGACTTTGGGCTTTGACTCCCAAGGTGGATAGAATTCATGGAAAAAGTGCATATTTGGCTATTTCTGTGCCTGAAGTAAACTTTTATGTTAAACCACCCACAAACTGCAATCGTTGGTGGAAAGGGGTTGTTATTAAATATATAAAGTCTTTGTCGAAACAGGAAAAAATCAATCAAAAGATAAACTGTACTTAAGGGCCATAATCTTATGTTGGATTTATGTCAATCAGAGCAAACAGACCAAACCACATTCTGACATGCCGTTTGTCACCATGTCAAAGACTGCAGCTACTTTCATGAAATTCAGTGCCACAAACGCACATGTAAACTCTAACCTTGATTGCACTTTGAAGGGGACACGGTGAGCGCTGTGCATGTAGTTTAAAATGATAAAGGAAACCCTGTCAAAATCGACAATTTCAATCAACCACGACACAGTGTGAACAGAGTCGCTAAAGCTGCCCCACCCACAGACTGGCGACATTCAATGGAGAAATGTACGCGGTCTCACATACCTTTCCTTGACTTTGACTTGAAGTGATTACAGCAGGCATTTGCAATGAGATCAGAAGGATCAGGCTATTTATATATTGCATGTAAAACAAGCTGTCGCATGAAAGACCACGTTACTGCCCCTTTTGTGCCCATGAACGTGCAGCACTGATACTGATTAACCCTAACCCCCCTCCAGGGTGTACATGTATGCAAAATCATAATGAAATCAGAGGATTTCAGAGGATCACAACTCGTGCAGGAAATTGACAATTTTTTCTGAACACTCCAGAGAAGGTTTCACGTGTTCACATTTAGATATTTAACCCCCCTAACCTTCCGTTCTTCTTGCGTACGTGGAAGATTTTGTAGAATTGAGGCTGTTTGGCAGACGTTTGGGGCCGATTTTGAAGTATCCTCTGTGTGAAGGTCTCGGAACAAACTTTGTGTTGTTCATGCTCGGCTGTTGGAAACTCTCTCTGCCCATTCTGCCTGAAAAAACATCCATACTACTCCTTGATATCATTCACACTGCCTCAACATACTGAAAACAGTTGCCAGAGACTTCTGATTGGGGTAATAGGTCACCCCTCCCAGGAACATTTGCCAAAAATAACAGGATGTTGGAGTATCAAGGTTGCATCCAAGTTTTACATGAAGGCAGTTGGATTTTGAAGGAGTCGCGTTGCATTCTGGCAAACATGTCCAGGGAGTTGATCTATCACCGAGTAATGTGTGTGCCCTAACTGTAAACCTTTGCACTCCGATATTGCCCAGTTAAAAATGAAACTGGAACATTATCCCTAACGTGTCCAGTTGAAAGGGGAAAAGGGTCTTTTCAATCATTGTAAATTGCCCCCTTCCCCCTTGGCATTTTGTCTCTATGAGGAAATAAGGCCCAGGTACTGTGCTGCTTTTAACAATTACAGAATCATTTTTTTTTTCCATATGTTGTTTAAAAGTTATTGCTGGTTTCTCATAAGTGTCTCTGATATTTGGCGCCAAATCCTGGATGGCAGCAGCAATACTAGCTTGGTTCAGAGGTTACTCTCCAAATTTCAAACCAGTGATTAGGTTTCTCCAAATTCTTCTAATTGTCCAAATTAAAACGTTTCAAGGCCATTTCTTGCAGGCAGAAATACAATAAAGTGCTAATTTGGAGCCTTCAAAGTACTTTGGAGGTAGAGTTAAATGCTTGGTGGGAGGGAGGAGAATGCATTTATTTTCCATAAAGTTCTGATGAGTGGCCTATATAGGCACGTCGTGGAGTCCATTCGGTGAGGCAGTGATGCTCTATGGTTAGTCTCACCCGCAGTCGCAACTGCCTTCCACTGATGCTTGAAAATCATTGTGAGTGTTGGTCTGGTTTCCTTCTTCTGCCCTGTAGCCAATCACACAGAAACGATGGAACTGGACGGGGGCGTAGAGATCCCAGCCAGTAAAGCCACCGTACTCAGGGGTCACGAGTCCGAGGTCTTCATCTGTGCCTGGAATCCCTGTAACGACCTTTTAGCATCAGGGTGAGTAATCAAAACCTTGGGACCATTCAGCGCACTGAAACACTGCTATGGGCGTTGCCAGGATGTTATGGGGAGTATGTGAAGCCATTACTGACAACTAACTGAAACCATCAATCGTGGAAAGGGGTCATTTCTGTTTTCTTAAAGCAGGTGGGTGATTTGTATCCTCTTTTCTGACATTTTTTGGTTTCCTTTGTTTTCCCTCGTTCTTATTTTCTGTTTTGGGGGGGAGGACCGCAGATGCCTCTGCTCATGTCATTTTTTCCCCGATCCCTCGTGGAAGAATTTGTATCTCAGCTTTGCCCATAGCCGTCTACACTTGATGTTCTAGGAATTAAGTCTTACCCTCCGTCCCCCTTTGACCTTTTCAGATATACATGTAGGTATGATAAAATCACAGGACAACGTTTTGAAAGAGTACCATGGAAATACCACAACCGAGTACAAGGAATCAGTAATGTTACTACATCATCAATTTCTCACCAGGTTGAGGTTTTTTTTTTCCATTTTGTGAGTTTTTTTTTTTTCCATTTTGTGCCCGTTTTCAGTGGTTTATCGTTTAATGTGCCTCTTGTTCTTCACATCGACAGAGCTGATATTATTGATTACAGCACCTGATGTGAGTCACCATTGATTCTAGTCACCCATGCAAATTTGTGTGCGAGGCATTATTGACTAATCGTTATAATCTGATGCCCAAATCAGACCGAACATAAATGAGAGAGGGTGACACACTCCGAAGGTGCACATGTTTCGTATTTCAACATGATGTGTGTGACTGATGTTTTAAGCCCAAAAGCACTAATCTACGCCCTCTCTTAATTGATTAATCAGTTGATTGACTAATCAGGTGCTATAGGCTTTTTCATTATGACTGTCACTTTCAAGTACAGCCCTGCTTTGTCCTGTCACAGCTAAGTGACATATTACTCCCAAGGCACCTGACTGGCCTTGTCAACAACTATGTGACTGCTTTAAACATGTGGAGCATGCCATGGTTTCCTTGAAGTTATCAGCACGACCCCCTGATGTCAAAGTGGATCGAATTTCAAGTTTTCCAAGTTTACAAGCTGCAGTCGTCTGGCAAAGCCATTATGGATCCCTCTGGGAACACGCCTGACCATGGATTTGCGCTTTCACTTCACTGACATTTGAACAGAACTGTAGATGAACATGCCTCCAGACCTCATCAGGTTCCCAGGCTCAAGGAAGGGTGATCTCAGCCATCTGTTCCAGACATGCATTTTGATGGCGATCCGGCTCATACTTACGATGGCAAATTTAACAGAACAGTTGGGCCAAAAGTTGTTCCAGTTTGTGAAAGAAGTGGTCCCGATATACTGATGTTCATGCATGCTATCTGTTATTGTGATTGGGACATGCATATATGAACGTGGAATATGGGCTCAAAGGAAATACTTGAGCTGTTTGTCTTCTAGAGTAATGAGAAAACAAATATGGGGAACAGTTCCATCCATCGATTACACAAGCCAAAGTCTTCAATTAGTTATTGGGTGCATATCCAATAGATATTGCTTGTTTCCGTAAGGCTGGACCAGCTAGCGGCTGAGTGAAACTGTCAGACTTGGTAAACAAACTTTGTACATGTGGCCAAGTGCAAGGGGTCGGGCCCCAGGGGAATACACGTACTTGTTTTCTGGATGGCAGCTTCATCTACAGGAAGGATTCCGGGAACGGTCAGATACTGTTGAAATAAGAAATGAGTGTCCTACGCTCTCATGTTATCTTGGATTTTCGACACATGTTATGCAGGGGCTTTGCCATTTGAGAATGTCGAAAATTGTAGGATTGATGATGAACTTACGTAATGGCTAAGTTGAAATGCTCGCTGTGAAAATATTTTTAAGCCCGGCCTTTTGAAGAAGTATTTTTTTCCAAAAAAAAATTAAAAATTAAACCTCACTGGATGAATTGAGGTTGCAGAGTAGAGAACAGTAGACAACAGTCTTTTGTACTTCGCGCAGTGAGTTTTTGCACATGTTTTCTTGATTGCACAATCATGTTGGTGTGTGTGGTATTGCGGTCACAGCAAAGGCCAAAACGTGACGCAGAGCTGATCCCAATGAGTTAAATGGCATGTGTCACACACACAGTGCAAGTGCTTCGCAGCTGAAGATCAAACTGCATTAGAGTTAGTTCCTTGGAGGGGAAACTGGCCAGGAGTTTTTTTGTCATTTTGGCCGCCGATTCACAGAGAAACTTTTGTATAAAAGGGGAAAATGCACAACTTGGCCGGGCAGGGGAAAAAAAGATTACAGCGGTTAGCATCAATAACCCTAACACTCCCAAATCCTCCAATTTTAATACAATTTTACACACACCCCAAGGGGGTTAGGGTTAAATTATCCTCTTGAAAAGTGTCGTCATCAGTTACGAATCTTAATGAAGTTGCTTTTTACCCCGTTTCTCCCCCTTGTAGTTCTGGAGACTCTACAGCGAGGATATGGAACCTTAGCGAAAACAATAATAGTCCACATCAATTAGTACTACGACATTGTATTCGGGAAGGTGGTCAAGACGTGCCTAGTAACAAAGATGTCACCTCATTAGATTGGAATGTAAGTCGCTCAGGTTCCTCAACCCCCTCGTGCTAATTTTACCAAGGGTTTGATGCCATGTCACTTTCAGGATAAATGCATTTTTCATACCCTTCTGTACTGTCAAAATTTTAGTGGAAGTCAGAGTTGGGTCCATTAAGCCGCCGTTGCTAAACAGGGGACTTGTTTTTTAAATTTGGACAGTTCTGACAGTGTTTATTTGTCCGTGCAACTCAGCCAAAATGATCCTGTTGTAATAGTTATGCTTAGTTGCGAGTTAGCTTTGAACCAGTAAGCAGGTAGTATACATCGTGAGCATACTTGAAATCTCGGCTCGTACCCTTCGCGTTTTCAGTGAGTTTCTTTTATACTGAAGAGACCTACAACATTGTGTTTGTTTTACCTCTGCGCAGTGTGATGGTACCTTGCTAGCGACGGGCTCCTACGACGGCTACGCCAGAATATGGTCAACAGACGGCCGGTTAGTCAGCACGTTAGGCCAGCACAAGGGGCCCATCTTTGCACTGAAATGGAACAAGAAGGGCAACTACATCCTGAGCGCCGGCGTGGACAAGACGACGATCATCTGGGACGCTCAGTCAGGAGAGTGTAAACAGCAGTTCCCCTTCCACTCAGGTTGGTGGCGCTCAGAGACTCGGATTAAAGACTGGCTCCCGACTCCAACATTTCCCCAAATGCTACAAGATCCAAAACACCGTGCAGTTTAGCAAAAGGACATTCATTCCACCTCAAAGAGCACTTTGGCTTTGGTTTGTCAAATCTACCCTAGTGGTGTGACAAGGGAGGTGTAGGGTTTGGACAGATTTAGCCCAGTAGGTCTTTCTCAAATGACATTACCATCTACACACTGCCTAGCCTTTATTCAAGGCCTTCGCTGTGTGTGTGTAACAGCAAAGTGACTGGAGAGGAGACCACATACACATGTATTTTCCATGGGTAGCAAAAATCCCAACCAATCATAAGCGAGGGGCTCAGCATACATTTACCTATTATGCAAATTGAAAGTATGTGAAAGATGGCGAGTGTGTCAAGTGTGTCGGCGGCCGTGAGTGCAGGTCACTTGTCTGAGCAGTATTTGGACAATTCTTCAGAATAAGCTACTGGATAATTTCACCTTGCCAAGTTTAAACCGTTGCATCGTTAGGCTATGGAAGAATCTGTGCGCGGGCGCGACGTTTTCGTCCTTACCCACGGGATGTGGTAAGAGCTCCATATTTCAAGCACTGCCGTTTTGCTTTGACCATTCAACCTTGATGAACTGCTACTTGCTGGTGTTACTCCAACGTCAGCACTGTCCCCCGCCAACAAGCATCATAGTTGTCTTCTCACTGCTTATTGCCCTCATGAAAAACCAGATGGAACATTGCGTAAGCTTTGGAGTTGATGCCGTTATTTCGGAGACTCATATACTTCAACTATTTACAATGCATATCAGAAAGCTTATGACTCATTCACCACAAAACCCTCAAAATCAAGTTGGAAAAGGCCTCGTGGCTGCACCACTCTCTTGGTCTCCTGTCCAGTCACTTTGCAGTTACACACACAAAGCCATGAAGGCCTTGACGAAAGGCTACAGACTGCCATGTCGGTAGAGTGGTAGAGTTTGTGTTTTGGATTATGTTGGATTATAGGAAGGGGCATGTGAAATCAAAAGGAATAGGTTAAATCATGTCAAAATATCCAATTTGTAGTTTGGAGACTGTCTCATCCTGTGAGAGCCTTTCATAATCTTGCCCCAGCAGATGGTAAAATATACGCCACGTGAAAATGGTTCTGAGACTGTCGCTGACAAGTTTCAGAGAGAATGGCCTTTGCCAGCAAAGATCGGTACAGAATTGTATACACCCGGCTGCTAAATGGTTCAAGGTTGTAGTTTACTTGCACATGCACACATGCAGGTGTTGTTTTAGGAGATCAGATGTGTCATGTGCAAGTAATGTGCCATGGTGTGTCAAGACGTGAATCTGGGAGTGTATTCTAACTTCCTGTTCCAATTAAACCAGCCTCGCTATAAGAAAAAAAATCTTGGCTTGCACTGAGTCTTGGTGCGTTTCGCTGTTGAGTGAGTGCATTTTTTTTCTCTCTCTGTTGGTGGATTGTGTTTCGTAGCCTATCGAATCTTTCATTTTGACTTCCCTTCCCGGTTTATTCCCAAGTTCATTTCCTCCGTCCCACCAACGGAGATATTTTTAGAGCTTCGAGGAGACAATTTGGGGGGTTTGGAGTGACGCCTGTCTTGAGGCTGCTGTCTGGTTTTACCTTGAGCCCCACTTCACTAATGGATAAGAAATGAAAGCTGCTCAGTCATTCCTGAGGCTGTAATTTAATATTGCTACCTTTCACCGGAAAAAACCAACATTGCAACAAGAACAATTGTAATGCATATATTTTGCTTTGTAAAGAGCTGAGACATGTAACAGTGTCATGCTTTTTGCACTTACAGTTTTCTTAGGAGTTGAGTTGAGTCCTTTCTCCTGTAAGAAGCATGTGTATCAGCAAAATGTTGACTTGTCAGATCTGTTGGGAATTTCAAATGCCAACTTAATTATTGTTAAACTCAAGAATAACAAGGATTTCAGATTTCATACAATTTTGGAGGTAGAAACTGACAAGGGATGAGACAGGTTGGTTGGCTCTTACAATCTCTGTATCTTTTCGCAAAAGTCATTGGACAACTTCCCTTCCAATTTTGGTCCATCCTACTGTCATTTGGTGACTGTAAGTAGACTTGACAGTGACAAAAAGAGCAACTGTGTCCCTTAAAGAATGGGCTGATTTGCAGTGCGTGTGCACCTCGCCCACCAGACACTGACGAGCTTCCCTTTACGTCTTTCCCTGTAACTCTACCGCCGAGGTGCGACACGCCTGAGCAAACAGTCCACTTGTTTGACAGGGGAGGGGGGTGTTTTGTGTCATAATTGAATCCACCTGCCGTGGAAGATCTCCCAGCAGATCTCAAATTTAGATTAGGATTTGAGAGGTTGGTGTAACATTATGGGCGGTGTACTCTGGTCTTCCTCTGACGTGATGACAGCGGACTTTATTCTTGGGCACTGTCTGGTTCTCTGGCATTTGGCACTGTACTAATTCGATTCTCCAAATGGAGCTGGTCGGGTTGCAAGTCCAAGTAAAAGTCTAGAATCCTGTTCCTTCTTTGTCTCAAGACTGCAGTGGCCCTTCTTGAGCAGACTGTTGACTTACATGCGAATTTGAAGGGTTGTGGAAGAAGTCTAAGACTTCAGGTTAAAAAACAGAGAAAGATCTCATCTCGAATACTTCATGGCCTAGCTCTTGCACCGGCGTGCATTGCAATGCAGTACCTCAATCTGTAGTGTCTCTCAGTATTTTCAAGACACCAAAGAAACTGCAACAGTCCCAGCTTCCAAAAAGCTCCAAGTGGAATGGAATAGTAACCCCAACCTTCCCCAACCACACAGAATTAACCAGTAGTAAAGTGTTTCATTCTGTGGGGATAGGTCTGGTAGGCCCATAACAGCTGGCTTTTGCACTGGGTTTGGCATACCTCAGAAAAACAAAGTCCAACAGCCCTCTGTGCACAAAGTCCTATATGGGTGTTTAACTTTGTGTGAATGGGGAAGGTTAATGAAATGAGTTTGCCTATCAATTTGTCATTCGGTACTCCTCCTCGCTCTATTATATTATTATTCTTTCTTATTTTTCATCAGCTCCAGCGTTGGACGTGGACTGGTGCTCCAACGTATGCTTCGCGTCCTGCTCAACAGACCAGTGTATCCACGTCTGTAAGTTGGGCAACGACAGACCCATCAAGACATTCCAAGGCCACACGGTGAGTTGCTTGTCTGCGTGCCAGTCATAAAGCTGTTAGGGTCAAGAGTCTTCAGTTTTGTAGTTGAGACCACTTAAGACCACCACAAGACCTCCAGTCGGAATTCAAGTCTTAAGCTATTCAAAAGAATTAAAGAAAAGTATCTCGTCTTGCGGTGGTGGAAACTTCAACACTAAAATCTTGCCAAGTGTGGGGAACAATATTGGCTCAGCGAAAACAGGTTACCGGCCGAAAAGTCATGGTAAGTATATTGTGCATAACTGGTGCTCCTTTGAGCCTTGCTAAGGGCATAGATTTCTGCAGCAGGTGTGATGATTCAAATGTACATCGATCAAGTGGAAAGAAAATTGGAAGGGAAAAAAAATCTGAATTACTACCATAGGTGTAACAGTTGCTCCCCTTTTTTTTCAGGAAAATTCAACCATTTACAGTAACCCAGATATTTCCCCTTGAAACTCTGAGTAATGGTAATCCTGCTTAAGCCAATTTCTTGTGTATTTTGGGGGAGTCTAAAAATAGCGAGCAGGCAGGCTATCCGGAGATAAATTTCGGTCCGCCCATTCGCATGTGCTGCCTTGATGATACTGTTTTCTCGTAATGAAAGGCATCCGTGGTTCAGATGGAATGGAAGAAGGCCACATTCTGAAAACCGTACATGATGTAATTTTTTTTTCTCCATGGTATGGGGTAGGTAGACAGTTGTTCACAAGAGGGCGCTCTGTGTTGACACACCAGGGATGTGCATGCTTAAGGCTCTAGTTGCAAAATGACGTTGATAGCAAACTCCCCACGGTCAATGTGACTAGACAAATGTGTTAGTCATGGGGGGGGTTTAGTGCGGTGCATCTTGCATGGAAAACAAAGAAGGGGGAATTGAGCACCTCTTTTGAAAGGGGCCAGCTGTCAGATACGTCTTTGTGCTGAAATCTGCGTATTTTGCCGTGGGGCTTTACTCTAATCAGCAACAGCTTGCACTGCATGACCCAAACCTCCGCCAGGAATATGGACTGACGGGTGAAGTACAAAGAAGGGTGCCACAGTCCACTCGGGGAAAATCCTTTGTGGTTTCAGCAGTTGTTCTGGGAATGCAGGGTCATCAAAGATAGCAAAAAATGTTCTAAATCACTCCAGGACACAACCGGAGGTACAATAACCCTAACACTCCTCAATCCTTCACCTGTTGGAGGACTGAGGACTGTTAGGGTTAGCCTTGAGCAAGGAAATTGAAATTGTCACGGCAAACACATGATCCGAATTGTTGCGGATGGCACTGTTAAGCACTGGCCACCTTTTGATGTCCTTGTGTTCGGCCTCCTGCATGTGGTAGTGCCTGGGGCCGGGAGAGTTCGGCTGTATCCCATTAAAGCCGCACCTGCCTCGAATCCTCCCAAATGAAAAGTTCATAAGGAACAGGTTAATGATCTTGCTAGAGATTTGAACTCTCTGCCCTTTGTTTCTGTCCTTTTATTGGCCCGTCCACCGGTGATATTAAGAAACATCTGTTTCTGATTAATATTTCTGACCTTCTGATTGACTGCCTTCCCCCTGTTGCTGCTGGGTTAAATTTGATAACGCTGTGTGGTTCCCCGGTGACTCAATCAGCAGATATTTTCTAGTCGTTTCTTGATAAATGCCGATGCTGATCCATACTGATCTATTGTCAGTAAATTATTGATATGAATGAAGATATTCATTAAAACAAACCTGTTCTGAGTCTTTATCCTGCACATCTGTTCCTGGTCAATATCTGCCCTCCTCATGCCAAAGTTGATGCCGGGTAAGCATGGTGGTAATGTCATGTCCTTCCACCACTGTGAGCTGCGCCAGGGTCCATAGTAACGGCTTTATTGCAGTTCTCCCTAACCACCCCCATGTAGGATCGGTTTGGCCGGATGCATCCTCAGTCATTTAAAATCCTCGGGTTACTTCTTTATAGGAATATTTTTCTGAATAATTTGATGTTCAGTGGGATAGTATGTTCCGTGACCATCTGATAGATTTCTTCACTTCATATTTCCTTGGATTAATTTGTACAAAAGTTGTTCTAAAGAGAAGTGATTTCTTTTTCCTTGTGCTTTCAGAATGAGGTGAATGCCATCAAGTGGGACCCAACGGGAACAATGCTGGCGTCTTGTTCCGACGACATGACGCTAAAGGTAAGCTGACCAGAAACCCTTTACTGCAGTGGATATGCGCAAACATGGTCGGTGATTGCCAAAGTGGAGTTGCATGCATAGGCTATCTAATGTGTATAACCTTGCTGATTGGATTTGGTGCATTCAAAGGCAATTTACTAAGTGTTTTGGGGTTTTTTTGTTTTTGGTGAGCATTATTTCAAGTTGTCTTCAAAACTTTACCATAGTAGTCAAAGAAAAGGTTTTGTTTGGATTATGGAATAGCTGTCTCAATTTTTGAGTTTTGTTGCTTGAATCTGGCTCTGTTCTACCCGTCTGCTGTTTTTTAAGTAAAAAAAACGGAAGTGGTACCCGTCTCTGTTTGAGAGGATGAAAGAGTACTGGCTTTGAAGCCTTAGAGTTGAAGAATTCACAGTAGGGATGATGTGCAAAGATGACCGAATCGGGAATCACATGAGGTTGCAGATAAGGCAGGAGATCGGGCTCTTTAAGTCTCACTGCGAGAACTTCCTCTCGTCTTGTGGGTGATGCCATCCGGCCGTGCCCGTCTGTAATCTCTCGGTGGATCTTGTAATCCAATTAGCCCTACCCTCTGCTACAGAGATTACCCATGTTGAATCCAGCCCCGCTTGTTGAAGGAAACAGGATGTGCTATTTATGAGGCCAAACTTCGAGCCGTGTTGGTAATTCGTGATCAGACTTTCACAGATGCACACTGCATGCAGAGTGATTTTTTTCGTTTATCGGCTTTGATAGATAAAAATGTAGTAATTGGACAGTGTACTCTCATTTCGTCAAAACAAGGACTTGAAGGACTAGCAAGATTCTGGTACGAGACTATTCAAAATGACCCAATTGCCCCAACCTGATGCAAAATACAAAGAAATGTATTTTGCACTCACAGAGTAGTTTGTTAATTTCAGAACATCTGCTTCAGTTTAAGTAATAAGTGCCGACAGATTTACATCTTGAACTCACAACCTGTAAAATCAAGATGTGCCACTCTTGACACTTCCAGCTTCCCCTTTAAATTTCTACCCTTTACGACTGTGTCTCACAAGGCTGATTCAAAGTGCGTGCTCTCCTTCGTCAATTTCCTACTTGAATTTCATTGCTGTGATAACCACTCCCTTGCCAGTGACCAACACTTGGACCCTCCACCCCCCCTCCCCACCCCCAGAAGCTGACCTTATAAGGAGAGATGGGCTGTGTTCCTGAAGTATCACCGATCACAGTGCTTGTGTGAAATACATGCACCGTTGACAGTTGCGCCAGTACCCCTTCCGGGACAAGTGCGTCAGATTCGAGTGTTGAATTCCTGTGTCAATCTGGTCTGCAGTGAGCAGCTTTTGCTGCAGTCGGAAAGCAGTATCATCCTTGAAAGAGTACCATCTTGAAACAGTACTGTCCTGTAATATGGGCAAATGTCAAACGTGACAATCATTTTTTTTTTCGACCAAGTTGGCCTGCATTCTCTGAACACGTCCGTGAGCAAGTGATCGGATGCTTTACACGTTTACTTTTGACATGTCAACTTTGAAATTGCTGTTACTTGTCACATTGTTCTTAAGTTACTTCTAGATTTTCCACTCCGCTAATCACCAAAGACATGGAAGGTGTTGTCTGTCTTGTTCAAGACATTGGACGTCAAAAGTACCCGTGTTTAACAAAAACTGCTTGTGTTTGAAAGCTTACCACACAGCCTCCCCCCCAAAAGTCATGTTCATTACACTTGATGTGGGACAAATTTTGTCTTGTTCACCATACATCAGTGTATAGGGCAAAACCTGTTGTTATAAATTAATTTTGTCTTGAAAGTTAAATTTTTTATGAAGATTGAATGGGCCTAAATCTCCGTTGCTCACAGTAGGGTACATGTAGACATCTGTGATTCGCATCAAGCATTCGAACAGGCAATATGAATGGACTATTGCCTGCTCTTTGTCAGCATATCTACCCTCGAGGATACAGGGATCTCTTGCCACATTTCTCACCACAATCCCTAGTTACCCAGCAGAGCCCAGGATGGTCAACCAGGGTTGAGCCTTAAACCCTCTATGCCCCTGTGTTACTGTGTCCCTTCCTGTCCCAGTGGTCAGCCCTCTAGCGGTACCTGAAGCTCTCGGTCTCCAAACCCTCCTGAGGGGTTGGGATCCGGAGCTTGTTAGGCCTTCCTGTGTCAGGGCGTTCCGAGGCCGTGCCTGAGTGGATGTGACAGGGCAATCTGTCAGCGACGGCCACACTGGGTCGGTCAGGGCCCTCTTTCTGGTAATGCTCTGTGAAGGGAGAAAACCTGTTGTTTTATGTCATGCTGCCTGGTTTTTCGCATTGAGTGGCTGTGGACCCAAGCAAATGACCTGTATTACCGTCCCTTGCAGACCTTCTCCAAACACACGGAGATAGAATACTGTTTTCATTGAGGTCTTTTGTGGGGACTTTCTTTGTTTGAAATAGTTAACCTAGTTGGGAACTGGGCAGAAACTAGTTCAGTATCAAAATCCCTCCGAGACAGATCGGACGTTTAACAATTTGTCAACATTGTTTGGAGATTTCAGTGAATTGGTGTACCTGCTGTACATATGTATTTCTCTGTCTGTCAGAAACTTTGATCATCATGAACACGTCTGCTGAAGACATGCACCTGGCTTTGGAGTCTTGTGTAAAAATGTCACCTTTGATGTAATTTGGTGTAAAGGTTGCCCCTTTCCTGTCTGGCACATTCTTGACTGTGTTTCCGACTAGCCACCTGTACCCTAACCTTCAGTGTGAGCACGCTCCTTGGACCGCGACCAAAGACGAAACATCAGGAGTTTGTCGGTCTCCCAGATCCCAAGAACCCGAGCACAGAATCTGTCTCTGATTGATATTTCCCGCTTGGTAGAGCCTGGGTCCGTCATCATGTCTCTGCCTCAACCCCTTCCCCCCCCCCCCCCCGCTCTCCCATTTCTTGTCTTGCATTGTTTATTGTTACCCTGCCATTGAGTGAATCACTGAAGCAGTACCCAACACTGCCATCTTTGAGGACTGGCTTGAGAAGAGTATACCTTCTGTCGATGCTTAGGTTGGTCATAACATAGACAGAAACTCAGTATTCGTAGTTTGGAATCAGTTCCTGATTATCATGTGTAATTTATGTGTACCATCCTTGTTTGCTGGAGCTGATTCTGAAAAGTTTCAAATGGAGTTGATGAGAGATGAGAAGATTGTATGGTACAGGACAAAGTGTTCATGTTATGTCGGTGGCTGAGGATCTAAACTGGACAGGGAAGGGGGAAGGGTTCAGCCAATTACTGGCTGTCTTTCAGGATCGCAATCACGCCAGAAGTCTGTCTAGATGTAGATCCTAGGCGGCCCCTGCTGCGTCCACCGCGTCTTCAGTTCCTCCATGTCTGCCCTAATCTTTCTTCCCAAAGAGATCCACTGTCCCCGATGGACAATTTCCTTTCCAAAACATTCCCCAAAAGATTGGTCTGACCGGCTCTGGGCCAGAGAGGATGGGTCTTGTCCTGTACTCAGTAAATCCCTTGATAAAAATTGCAAATTATTTAAAGGTCCTTGACTCCTAGTCAAAGGAAATGTTAGTAATCTGGCCTGAAATCACAGAGATTTGTCTAGGAATTCTGTGGCGTAACAATTAAGGAGTGCTCTGATAGTTTAAGCTTTAGATTAAGAAGCACAAACGAGGAGTTTCCTCGGCTAGAGTTTGGGAAATATGCAACAGAATTGGCTGGGGCTATCTGGTACTCCATTGCCTTGAGTTTGAGTAACGAGCACGCACCTTGTTAAGGCAAGAATGGCACATAGTCCCTGTGTTCTTAAATATTCAGGTTTCACATTGGTGTGATCTATTTGCCATTAGGATTTGACCTCGTGACTGTCCAATCCCTAGCTCAGAATCGGCAATCGGTGTATGTACCTGTGCATGTACCGTATATAAAGGTCAGTGCTTGCACTGAATATGGAAACACCCTGCTGCCATTCATTGCGGATTAGGTTTGCACGAAAACTTCTGAGTGGGCCCTCGGACGACAAGTCAGCGATTATGGTGATATGCTACAAGCAGGAGTAGGCCTGAAGGTCTGTAGAATCCCCAACATGCTGTTTACCCCTGTCTGTTAGGTTTACTTGTCTAGGATGCAAGTGGTTGTCGGGTGATATCTATAAATACACTGCAGTTGCTCATATTTAGCAGTGGACAGGAAGGTCTCCGACGTGCCCCCCTGTTTCTCTCTCTCCCCACGGACTCTACCCAATGTAAGTCAATTACAAACTTCCTGTGACTTCTGAATTATGAGGATTGTAACGGCTGAAAATGCTGAACGGATGTAAGTGGCACTGCTCGGCTGTTAAACCAAGGACAGATTCCCACGCGCCATCGTGCAACGAGATATCCTCTAAAGTGATACAACCGTGAATGTCCAATGCCGTAGAATTCATTGACTGCCGTTTTCCGGCACAGTAATACTGGGATTCCTACCCTTGTCTCCTTTTTTTTTTTTCCCCCTGGGGTATGTTCTCCCTTGATAGTCCATTGCAAAGGTGTCTGTCATATTTACACCAGTCAGGAAGAAGAAATCATGCATGATACTTTGACATTCCTCTTTTTTTTTTTAGTGGGTCGAGTGAATGAGCGGATGCAGAGTTCAATGCGCAGTATTTAGCTGCCAGCTGTCCCTGATTTGAAGTGATCCGTTGCATCTTTTCTCCTCAGCTGAGAATGGAAATTCCATGCTTCTAGTAACTGAATTGGAACATTTTGCCCACCGTGTCAAAAAAAAGAACGAGAGAAGCCCCACGAGATTCTAACGAAAATTGTCAGGATCACGCGGCAAGCAGAACTTGACTCCTCGCATCAACATGAATCTGATGTGAAGTCATACAGGAAGGCAAGAAATACAGCACCACACTGCCTTGACCTCCTTGACATTGCTGAACTAGGATCTTACAATCCCCAGTTCCCTAATCAGATTTCTGCAATTACCACAACGCTGCGGTTACAGTGAGAGAAAACAAGAAAAGGA